ATACAAGTTTTCCATATCAAATCCTCTCTATTCCCAGCATGGGTTTCTGGACTTCTCTGCGCTACTTATTCCAGTGTTAACCTTGTGTGCCTAAATAAAAATACAATGTGGGATTTAGAGTGTGTTTTGTAGATTGAGTGGAGCAATGGGATTTAGTCACATTACACAAACATCAACATAACAACAGACCAATAAATATGACATCATATGAAAAGGTGAGAGAAAGACAAGACAAGAGGTGAGTTTTACTTATCTGGTGTAACAACACTTTTAATCACTAAGTTACTTTTTATCATTTTGAAAATGCAATATTCGCAGAAAACAATGTATAAACCTGTTTTACAAGTTTCACTTTCACTCCCCCTTCAGAGCGTTATCACAGCACAATCAGTGTGCATCCCGCTAATGAAGTGCACAGTGGCTGTGTTCAATTTTGTATCATGTTTTGTATTTTTATGGAAATGTATGTCATGTGGGAGCATAGGTGATTTAGGCTTGTGGGCTGCGCATTGCACAGAATCTTACAAGTACAGTTACGGAGGTTTTGAATAGGGCCCAGGAGAGATTTCTAAATTACTAAAACATGAATGACATCTAAACCTCTTCAAGCATGTTTTGATGAGGGAACAACGTTATAACATAATTTTTTTCATAGCTCAAAAATATATATTACCCCCAGTTAGAATTATGCAAAAAATGTAATGCTATAAAGTTGGAGAAATTAAAAAAATAATGAATCTTTTTAAAGTATCTGTTATAAATTCTGCTAAAAATGTGCAGTCGTAAAAGGTTTGTGCAATAATCAATTTGTGTCACCTGATTGCAGAGGTTGGAGGATTTCATAGCATCAGCATTTGTCTTGGCACTGACAAAGACTGTCAAATGTAGCACAACTTATAATGTACTTGTATGTACTAAAATGATTGTGTGTTTTGCTTTGTGTCTGGTTATAAACTAAAAGTGTATTTCTGACGGTCTTTATGTCATCATGCTCTGGAGTTTGTTTCCATTTTTACACTAATGACATGATATAATCCAAATGTAATTTCTTTTGACAATACATAACATTTTCTGAAATCTAGGTCTGAGATGTGTTCAAGTCATGGTTCAATAGTAAGTATTTTGACTATGTAGTAACTTAAAAACATATGAAACCTGATTAAGGCCTGCACTATAAAAATAACAATGTGTGTTTTTGGTTGCATTAAAAAAATAGGAAAAATGTTTTCAAAGGCAAAGGCCAATGTCCACCAACTGAATCGACATTGCTGCCACTTTGCTGTCAGTGAACGCCCAGAACAGTTTTCAAGTATTTTTTAGGTTTTAATGGCTTTTATAATAAACAAAAAGATATGTATTCAATACAACAGTGCCTCATGAGAGTCTCATGGATTTTAAAAATGACAAAAATACACAAAATATTTTAAGGCATTTTTGGGGGGTAAATTAGCACTGCTCGATAATGGCAAAAATCACCATTATTTGGTTTCTAATTGAAATCAGCATTATTTCTCATGATTAGAACTAACATAGTTTATTAGTAATGCTTTGTGACATTTTAGAATTACAGGTGTGTAAATTAGAAAAGTGGTTTTGCAAGTGTGGATCATTTTGAACAGGTGATTCATTGTGATTTTGATTGTGACATATGTTTTTATTTGATAAATTATACAGCTGTAGCATAGATTGGATAGTTTAAGAGCATATGTAATGTTTTCATAACAGTTTTCAATAATGTTGCAAAAGTGTAATATAAGTTATCATATTTTTACAGGTCTTTGGAAAATCAAGTGCCAAATGCAGATTCACAATATCACTCCAGAACAAATGTTGCAATAGGTGAACAACCATGCATTTCAGAAGAATGTTCTTGAGATTTTTGCGGACTTGAGAAAGACCAGAAAAGTGAAGCAGACCCAGTGCGACAATGGCCCTTTAAGGACAAGTGTTCCGTGCACTCCTGGCCAGTAAATAACCTAAGAGTTAGTTGATAGAAGGGGAATTAGAGCCGGAGCAAGGCTGTGTAATGGGGATGGATAGGAGGCTCTGTGCTGGGTCAAAGTCACTTAAGAATCAATGCTTGGGTCCAGGTGAACACGGCCGGGTCTATACACAGCAAGACAGCCTTTGAGAAGAGAGGGAGGGACAGAGAGAGGGAGGAGAAGAGAGGAGGACAAAACAGGCCACAATCATTCATTTCCATTATCACAATTAAAAACACCATTCAAGCCAGTGCTGGTTTTTAATTCACAATATCACGCATAGAGAGGAAGACTGATGTCACACTGGCCAGACTGAGACAAAGCATATTACCTTCCCTGCCTCCCAGTGGGTTACAAATGTACACTATTACATTTCACGCATAAATAAACTCATGTATGCGTAGGCCGGTTCACGCTCATGCACATTAGGGGCTGAATTGAGAGGCTGAGATGTAAATTTGCTAATTAAATAATATCGCGGCATTACTAATAAAAGTGTCACATTTCCTACGCCCTGGAATGAGTATTGAGGAAAATGGTAATAGCCTTGACACTGGGATTAAAACACTATTGATGCCATTAAAATGCTAAGTGGGTCCCACCAATTGGCATAACCACATTTTACCGGAGGAATGTCAAAGGAGCATGCGAGGAGCAGCAATTACGATTACAATGCACTTAATTATGTGGGCCGAATATTTAATAAGAGCCAGAGTAAAACAAAGGTTATGTTAATATGAGTTTATTAACTATTCTGATTTCTTATAGATGTCCTCAGTCAGTGTTGGTATTTTTGATTTGCAGAAAAGCTGACTTATACAAATACTACATTATTGCAGTGTGCTATTTGATAACAATTGTCATAATGTATGTTTTAAAGTGGGATAAACAGTACATGTTACGCTAAACAATTAGTTTAAGATGGACAAAAACATGGGCTTCTTCTGCCCTCTTGTGGTTACTACATATACCTTAATTTGAATGTACTGAAAACAAGGCAATTTACATGAGGTTTCTTAATAAGTATAGATTAGTGTGTGTGCATAGAGTGTAAAAGTAGGTGTTGTATTGTTTATGTTGTCCTTAAAAGTCACTTCTGAATAGTTTCCTGCCAGAAGGAAAGCCTCCAGCTGTTATTTAGTGGAAAAGTAAAGTTGGGGTGAACATTGCCCACTCTTGGACAGTGGCTGCAGGTTATATGTGCACTTAAATCCCTCAGGAACTAACTTGGAGCAAAACTAAAATGGTTTTGTCATCAAGTTATTTGTTCCCATTGTGACATGGGGAGTGTATTTACTAAATGTGGTACATTACTACATTGCTATTCATAGACCAAAATGTAAATTCATTCAGCATTAAGATTATTTGTTGTGGAAGAAATTTTGAAAGTCTTCATTTGATATGATAATATATATATATATATATATATATATATATATATATATATATATATATATATATATATATATATATATATATAATAAAGAGAGAGGAGAATGTGGGACATAGTGGTTCATTATCATTTTACCTTTAAGAACTCATGAATAAGAACTCTGCATAGGGAGGACAAGATACTTCGAAATAGAAAATAGATGTATTTGCTTACCTCAATCCATTGAGGCTGTCATAAATGTTAGAATGCTAGAACAGTGTGGTGAATTCAATATGTTGAGTACAATATGTTATATACAGTGATGATTGTGCATAGATTTTAATTAAAAAAATTATAATAACCAAAAACGGTAGTATTTGCACATGAACTAGTTGCAACCATTAATGCCTTTCTTGATTACTTGTGATATATACATTTTTAGAAAGGTGTAATTTCTTCTGTACAGTCCACAGGTCTAGTTTTAATATCTGCAGAGTTTTGACATGATATAAACTATTTTAATTAACAATTTTATGTTTTTTCCATGCTGTCACTGTCAGTCTCAGACAAAGCAATCAGTGCAAAAAATGGTCACTCGTGTCCTAATTTATACTAAAGCACAGACAAAATGCATTTGTTTCCAGATCATTATATAGTGAGGCGTGCATTAGCTTGGTGCAAACAGACCACTATTCATAATGGTTAACAATGACATCCAATTCAGCCCTGCTAATGAACTTCAATGGAATCATGTTGGGTATTAAGATGTGATTTGTTGAGTCTAAGTGTTTCACTGAGGATGTTAATGTTGAAGAATATCTGGATGGGGAAGGAAGCAAGCATGGCCCAAAGATGTGCCTTTGTGATAACAGTTTACAGAGTGAAATACAACACCACCATCTAGTGGCATAATCACAAAAATACAAAAACTGTGCCCAAAGGACAATAGCATTTTCTTTCTTTCTTGGTTCCATATTAAAAAAAACAAATATATAATGTAATATGTGTAGATTGTCTGTGGGTTTAGGTAATAGTGAGTGTGTACCCTGAGATTTCAACTAATTCTTTACCAAGCAAGACTAAGCTGTTTGCGAGATAAAAATGTTGAATTAAATAATTATTTTAATAAATTAACATTAATAATAGTGTTAAATTATATTTTTAAAAGTGATAACATTTTATTGTGGTTTTGTGTTTTTATCTGATTTGGGAAGTCCAAACTTAAACCAGGGACCAACTGCAAAAGATTTTAGTTGGCCCTCAGGCCTGCTGCTTAAATGGCCCATATGATTAAAGGCAGTACTTATAACTGCAAATTTAATTTCTACCCCTACAACTTCAATACCATCAAATTTCATTATGATACAGGCCCAACATGAATGTTTCAAGTATTGTTAAAAGTATGATGGCAAAGACTCCCAGTAATGACTCCACTCTGTGGCCCTCCACTTAAAATATATTTTAAATATGGCCCTCCGCAAAAAAAAAAAAAAAAAAAAAAGTTTGGACACCCCTGGATTACATGATAATTTTGCCATTTCCCCATATTATGCAACCATAATTAAAGACTCGCTCTTAGAATTCAATGTGGAAATGAAATCTCAACTATAAACTTATAAATCCAATTTCAAAATTCCGACACTCACCGATGCCAGCGTTGCCTCCGGTGATGACAACCACTTTGTCGGAGAGGTCACGCCCCTGCAGGATCTCCAGAGCAGACGAGTTTCCATCATAGCGTTTGGGCTTCACCACCACATCCTCCACCGTGAAGGCCTGCCGCGGGTCAAAGTATGTGCTTCTCTTGTTGATATGACTACAAATAGCAGAAGGAGCATTCTCATTCATACAATCTACACAGCAGTATTTATTTTATCTACTACAACATTTTGGTCATTGTTTTTATTATTATCAAAGTTATGTTAACAAAAAATAATAAAAACATGAACCATACAAACAAAAAGTTTGTATAATGCATACAAATGCAATTAACGTTTGTAGGCTAAACCTATGACTAAAAATTGATAATAAAAACTAAACAAGATGAAGATCGGCTGCTTTAAATCCGAGACCATGGTTCTTGACCGGAAAAAGGTGGCTTGCCCTCTCTGGGTGGTTGGAGAGTCCCTGCCTCAAGAGGAGGAGTTCAAGTATCTCTGGGTCTTGTTCACAAGTGAGGGGAGGATGGAGCATGAGATAGACAGGTGGATCGGTGCAGCGTCTGTAGTGATGATTGATTGATTGATTTCAGTCACAGGTATATTCTGACATTATTTCACAGACAGTCATATTTAAAATATTTAACATACACAGACCGAAAAGGTGTAAGCTAAAGCTTGAGCTTATTATGTCTACCCTTTATTCCTTTATTAGAGCATCATTTTGACACCAATTCATATTCATAATACGGCAAAAGGAAACAAACAAATCAGCAACAGTAAAGCAAAGTACTACAGCACAAACTAAGTATCCTATTTCATGTACATGTGCTCAAAGTTAAACATTTAAACTTCTTTATACAATTTTAGGTCTTGTTTTGTTCCAGAGCTCCACCCCTTTAACAGATATAGAACATTTCATAATGTTTGTTCTGATTTTCTTTTTGATAAACGTGGCCGTACCTCTGAGCTCATATTGGCTATTTTGGATTTTGAACATGTTCTGTAATGATTTTGACAAGAAATTGTTGTTTACTTTGAACATGATTTTCAAAGTGTAAAGGTCAACTATAATCGGAAAATTTCAGAGTATGAAGGTTTATAAATAATGCATTAGTTGGTTCATTATAAGTTGATAATGTGATTGCTCTTACTGTATTGTATTTTTTTGCAATGTAAAGATTGGATTTGTATTAGTCGTATATGTATTGCGGTCGCTGTATCAAACCGTTGTGGTGAAGAGGGAGCTGAGCCAATTTACCAGTCAATCTACGTTTATACCCTTACCTATGGTCATGAGCTTTGGGTAATGACCGAAAGGACAAGATCACGGATACAAGTGGTCGAAATGAGTTTCCTCCACAGGGTGACTGGGTGGTCCCGTAGAGATAGGGTGAGGAGCTCAGTCACACAGGAGAAGCTCGGACAAGAGCCGCTGCTCCTCCACAGAGCCAGCTGATGTGGTTCAGGCATCTCTTCCGGATGCTTCCTGGGCGTCTCCCTCAGGAGGCGTTCCAGGCATGTCCCACCAGGAGGAGGCTACGGGGAAGACCCAGGACACGCTGGAGGGACTATGTCTCTCAACTGAACTGAGAACGCCTTGGGGTCCCCTCAAGAGGAGCTGTAGGGAGTGTCCAGAGTGAAAGAAGTCTGGGAATCGCTGCTTAGACTACTGCCCCCGTGACCCAGCCCCAGATAAGTGGAAGAAAATGGATGGATGGAAAATGAATGAAAAGAAAGGAGTGGGGACTAGATTACATTTTCAGCATCAGAGCCCCACCCCAGACCAAACAAACTCAACATCCCAGGAATATGTCTGTACATGTCCCATGAAGCAATGCAAAACAATGTAAAATACATAATATATTTAAAATAAATAGAATTTTTTTGTCTGACTAAAGCAAACTATTATGAATTTAGTTGACTAAATTAGCATTATGTTTTCGTCTACTAAATACTGACTAAAACTACAAATATTTTTCATCAAAAGATTAAAACTAAAACTAAAATTGTAATTTCAGGTCAAAATTAATGCTGCTTCTCAAAGTGTTACTTCCTGATTACTTACTCCACATAAACAATCTGTCCCTTTTCGTCAGTTTCTTGCTCCCAACCATACGGTAAATCTACAAAAATCAAAATATAAAAGACACAATCAGATTGTTAGAGTTGCTTTGCCAGTTTCATTGTTTGTGTTTTATTATTACATTAAATAACCTGAGCAGACATTTCGAGGATACTGCAATAGTAATAAAAGGTGGGTGTCAAAAACTAGACTGTGTGGCGGTAGTGCATTGCTGCTGTGCAATCAGACCCAGTATTGCATTCTATTTGTTCTGTTCTATTAAATGTTTACCAATTCATTCATCAACCAACAGTGCTTCTGTCACTGCGCAAAGCCAGTATTATGACTCATGCCATGGCAGTGCCTTATGACGCAGACACCATGGGATAGGTCTGAGAGTATTTTTGATCTGGCTGGAGAAGGAAGACTTTCACCACCAAGTATTTTTTTTACATTCTTCTACTTTCACTTACTGAAAGTGTAGTTAAGAAAACATTGACAACATGTACATTACAGAAGTACAACAGAAATAATTGCTCAAAACAAACCTCCAGCACAACGCTTTTTCTTTCCAGTCTTGGGATGCTCCCATTGGGTCTTCATATCATCATGACTTGGAGGAAAGTGAAATCAATAGTTAGCAAATAGTTAAAAAATAATACTTTAAGGTTGTGCTCATTCTTGGACATACCACAATAAACTAAGACTAAATTTGGACTAAACCCATAACCAAACCTGGACTAGACCATGAGCAGTTATTAAACTGGGGCCAAAACAGGACCAAGTGTTAATGCAGCCTAAAAGCTCAGTTCCATGTTGTTCCATGTTCCTGATTTAAATGTATTCCTGTCATGATAAATGCTTTACATGTTGTGCATTGTATAGTAAAAGCAGCTAAATAAGAAAAAAATTTAGTCTGCTATTACATTTTCTCAAGTAATAACTAATACAGAAACTACTAACATTATCACCTCTTTTTGTCCAATTAGGCACATTACCCACTAAGAATTATGGGATATTAACAACCTGAAACTATCCCAGACTCTTGATTCACTGTCATGATGCATTTTCAAGATAAACAAAAGGACATTGGTGGTTTAAGATTGGTGAACTAAAAGGAAAAAACTGCATGACACTATCCCAGACAGATGTTTCTGTGTCATGGTGCAATATCACAGAAAGGACTAAGTGAGCGGGCTAAAACATGTTCCTGACTCATGGTTTGAAATCAGATGCAGGTCACTTAATGCAGCTATTAACCGGGCATGATAGAAGGGTCATTCCACACCATTTCATAAAATTTCCAGAAAATCTCACGCATTATGTTTTTTTTTTTAATTTGAAAAAATTACCAGCTGGTTACTTACTATCATGTACCAGCCCTATGAAATTTTAGTGATTTTCGATCATTACTTTTCAAGTTGCCCAAAATCGCGTAATTTTTTTCTCAGCCGTTTTCACAGGTGGATATCTTCGTAGGTATCACACATAGAGCGCTGAAATTGTGTAGGCTTGTAGTCCTCTTCTCTGTGTTCAAATAACATCTATCGAAAGTTCGGTAACTCAACTCATTGTCATTTTATATTAACTTAAAAATGAAAAAAACTTGCTCATTTCCGTGGTGTACCATTTTAGCCCCTTTTTAACCCTACTTGTAGGTGTCGGAGACCCTTACATTTTTTTGAGAATCAAGATATATACTAAGACTGTTAAAAAAAATCACCAAATGTTGAAAATTTGAAATAGGTTATGTGTGAGGGTTCTGTTAAAAACAAGAAAACCTTACATGGTCCGATTTTCACATGTAATTTATGACATGTGGGTAGTGAAAATTTTTTTTGAATAATTTTAGTTTGAAAGACCAGAAAAAAGTCTTTCATATGGTACCAAACATATGTATTTTATGAAGCTCCTTCAATTTTTTATTGTATCTTGAACATTCACATTTGACACAATGACACAAGTATACAGTGACCATGTACTATGTTTTATTGCAGCAGCTAAAGTTCCCAAACATGAAGAGTGAACAAGAATGAATCAACAGAATGTGTTACAAGTTATCTAAAAACCTAGAACACAGAACATGTATGTCTTATTCGTCATCAGTATTGGTAGGCACATCTTCATAAACCCGCAGTAGGTCCCGAAGCTTTTGGATTTTCTGGCCGAGGTCACAGCAGCATGGACAGTCCTCACAAGCTTGGCCACCAGAATTCTCCTCAACCTGTGGTGGATTTTTCATTCCTGGTGGACTGGTTTTAGAAGGTTTAGCTGACCATGTTGACTGGGGTGTGGCCTTGTAAGTTGAATCAGACGCTTTGTCATCTGTGCTCTTCATTAATTTCTTGGGAGCCAACTCTTGGGCCCCTGGTGATCCAAACATGTACTGGCTCTCTTAAAATATATAACAAAAAAAACTCCAAAACAAATGTGCATTTGGAACTATATAGGTCCACCCCAGAATAAAGATGAATATGATTTTTTATATGCGATAAATTTCCACAAATCCTGAAATTTCCCTTAAATGGACAACCTTAACACTTTCCATTTAAGGCTCCATAAGACTTTCTTTACCTGCTCAGGCGATCCAAACATGATAGGGAACTGTTTCCTCACTTCTTGTCTGCTTCCGGATGTTTGAGTTCCTTCCTTGTTCATCACTACCCACATGCAATAAATTACATGTGAAAATTGGACCATGTTACATTTTCTTGTTTTTAACAGGACCCTCACACATAACCTATTTCAAATTTTCAACGTTTGGTGATTTCATTTAACAGTCCTAGTACATATCCTGATTCTCAAAAAAAAATAAGGGTCTCTTACACCTACAAGTAGGTTTAAAAAGGGGCTAAAAATGGTACACCAAGGAAATGAACAAGTTTTTTTTTTTTTTTTTCCATTTTAAGTTCATATAAAATGACGAATTGAGATACCAAACTTTAGATAAATGTTATTTGAACCCAGCATAGAGGACAACAAACCTACAAAATTTCAACCCTCTGTGTGTGATACTTACGGAGATATCGACCTGTGAAAACGGCTGAGAAAAAATGCGATTTTGGGCCCGTAAATTGACACATAAAATGAGCTGTAACTTGAAAAGTAATAATCGAAATTCACTAAAACTTGTGCATGGGCCATTTGGTGAAATGGCGTGGAATGACCCAGAATCTCCTGCAACAGCATCGCCAAATAAAATCTGCTGCCTGCCAGTGTACTCACCAACCACTGCTCACCACCATCTTTTCCAATGGTTGTGACCCCATCTGGGACTTGGGGGACAAGGGCATCACCACTGCTGTCCCACTCAGAACTTAAGTAATTCCTACCCACAAACCACCTCATGATCCCACAGAATTTTTCTGTCATCTATGCATGTTTGAGTAATCTAGCAAGCTCTCCTGGCCCCTATTCGAACCGTCCTTAAGGTTAGAAGTACAATCCTGTACAATGGTCAGCCCACAAGCCTATGACACCCATGCTCCCACACTGTAATGTTCTATAAATATACAAAAGCATGATACATACATCACAACTTCACAAACCTGATGCAATGTGCAGTAGCTTTATTAGTGAATTGCACAGCGATTGTAATGTCATAGCGCTCTGAAGGAGAGTGACAGCACTGGGAGTAAAACAATAAAAGAACATGGTGATCTAAATATGTGTTAGCAGCAGTGTCGGTCAGATCAGATACTTTTGCAAAGTAAACTAATCACTGCCAACCCCTTCTAATAGTAATCTAATTCTTACTCTGATTATTTTATTTCAAAAGTAATGAGATTACTGATTACTTTGAAAAAAAGGAAACATACAGCTCAGGAAGCAATTCATAAAAAGCATGAATTCTTTAGACTCTAGATTCTAAAGACACTTTTTGTTACAGAGCTTAATGTTAAGCAGAGGGGACGCCACAGTCCTCCACATTCACACATGTTTAACTCTGCATATTTATTTGTTCACTTCTCAGAAAACACCTTGTCATGTGGTAATACAGGAAGTGCTCCACTGTGTTTTTAAACTCCATACCTTTGACTACAATTGTTTGAAACATTTCAGACTTCGAATTGCCAATCTTTAGAGAACTAAAGTAAAAAGGTAGTGGTTAACTTGAATACTACCACTACAACACTGCAAGGTAGAACAGAGCATTTTGAGCTTTGATGATTTAGGAAAAGTCGTGCAGAGAGCAGGTGCATTACTCACTTGGCATAATAAACCCATCCATCCTTAGTGGACCTCTCCTCCCATCCCGGGGGTAACTCGTCTTCGCTGTCCGTGTCGTCCATACCCGCGTACTTCAAAGCTGACATATACGTTAAGTTCGTTAAGTAAGAAAATACACACGGAGATGGAGTAAAAAGTAGTGAAATCACGGTTCACACGAACGGTCTGAAGAGTGCGGTGGGTTCCCTGAGAACTTCCGCAACAACACGGTGACAACTGTCGAAAAGGCGCATGGGAAATGGAGTCCTAGTACTGCTTCGTCAGATTTCCACTGAATGACAGACAGTAGGCTACAGGGAAATGGAAAGTAATGACCATAGATTTATAATATAAAACTCCAAATCGTATTATACTTATGTATAATACATAATGACTAAATTCGTGACATGATAAATGTTATTTTAGTGAACTATGGCAACTAAAGGATATGGCATTGGTTATCATGGTTTCAGGGTGATGAAAATCTGGTCATAGAAATGAACAGTCTAAACAAAATATATCTTTTGAATTGGACAAAAGACCTAAAATATAATCTATAATTAGGAAAATGAGACCCATGAATAGTTGAACCTGGCATTAATAATAGAGAGCAGATGAAGTACGGGGCTCCGATTTTATATCTCTGAATTGGGGTTTGTCTATGTAACTTTTCTGGTAGGCGTTTGAGGGTTTTTTTTTTTGTTTTGTTTTGTTTTGTTTTTATTGCCTGCAATAAGGCAATAAAAAATATCTTCTAGCATTTAATGTTTTATTGTTTTGAAATACGCATCTTGATCTATGATGGAGACAAAGCAAGTGGCAGACCCTCCACCAGTAAAATTACAACACCTAAATACTTTTGGTAACTTGAACAATGGAAAATTAAGCAAAGATGTAAGTGAAATGTTGTTTTTGCAGGACTGTTCAGCTTCAGTTATGATTTTGATCAGAAACAACATCACGGCATACTCAAAAGCTCAAGGGTTCATGCACTTAGCAGAAAATACAAGATCTTGGTCACTAGATTACACAAATTCACTAGAATTAAGTGCTGTTTTTCAATCTGTGCCAAAACTGTGCACTGTGTGTGCATGGGACTGAGGCTGCATGGCACTGAGGTGTGTTGCGCATGTGCAGGGCGGCTGGTGGGCGGGGCTGAGAGGTGGGCTGAGCCGTGGAGACAAGTGTGTGTTTGTGTGTCCCTCACGTCTGCTGCCTGTGTCTCCTGCCTTGCTTCTCAACGTGTGCCCCAACACTGGATGGCGTTTAGGCTCGGGACTGCTCCATCCGTGGCTTTTAGATTGTTTCAATGTTGGCGTTCCCACAGTTAGTGAACATTCCGTTGATAGATCGCAGAAAATACTGGACGGGGCTGAGTCGGTGGTTTCTCCTAAAGAGTGTCCGCTTCCCCTCCCCTCGATGAAGCGCTGCGATGCCCTCTGATTTTATATCTCTCCTTAGCACGGATATCGACCTTAATTCTCCCAAATCTCTGTACTCTAAAGGTAAGAGTCTGAACCCTGCTACAACCCCCTTCCCCCTCTTTGTACGATGGATTATCATTTAATTGGTAACCTATTTCAAACCTTATGCTAGCATTAGTTAGCTGTGCTGTTAGCCAGCTTAGCTAGCTTAGTAGGCTGGCCACATTTTGATCTGGCGACCACCTGGTTGGTTGGTTAGGTGTCAGTGTCCCTGCAATGCTCGTGTCTTTATTTTGGCTAAACGCCTCTTATAACGCAGTAGTATCAGTCTGTCCGTGCACTGCTGAGAATGTGACTGTGCCATCATGGTGTCATCTCTACATCGTTTAATAAACCTGACTTTGTTCATTGGGGATGGTGGTTCTGCAGAGGTGGCTGTAAAATCAAACTTCCTGCTGTTGTTGTACATAATCTATGATCTTATTTAGTTATTAAGTAGGTTTGTCAACAATTCATGATTTCATCAGGTGTAACTTTATATTACATGAATGAACCTATTGCTAGAGAGCCGTCTCTGGCCCAAATATAACGCATCCTAATAATCTATGGCAGCCAACACTTGTGTTATTATTAGATATGTGTTGAATTCCTTTCGGGGCTCATGCAAAACAATAAATCCAGTGACCCAATGGCCCGTTATTACTGGTGACCTTGTCTTTTGGTTTTCCTGCATGTTTTTGTAGTTTTGTACTACTAGCTTTACAGTCAGTCAAAGTGGAGGCTAAAGTCAGATGCTTCACATTATGAGTACTAAACCCAGAGGCTACTGCACTCTCTTGCACTGGTGTTGTTTTGTAGAGTCGTGCTCTTGAAGTGGAGGTAATCTGAGACCTGCTTATGCTTTTGGAGGGCTGCTACTGTAAAGCGCTTCCTCTTTGCTTCATTGGAGGCAACTGGCAGTACGTTGAGTGGTTGACAAACATAGGCTTTTTGAACTTCCTGCCATTTGACCTGGAGCACTCAGCTGTCTGCCATGTTCAGGGGGAGCCAGCAGCAGAAAGCATTGCTTCGTGAGTGACCCTGGTATGTTGAGTTTAGCTTGCCATATGGTCACACTATCACATCACATGATGGCTGTTTATTTTTATCTCAGTAATTGGGTGCGCCTTGTAGAGGGTCATGGCAGCAGACCTGTTTGTCAAAGAGCCAATTTGAGACCCCTGTACATCATAATGGAAGTGATGAAAGGATGCAGTAACATTTGGACTGGCTAGTATAGGGCACACTGACAGGGGAAAGATTTACTAACTACAGCATTGGACTGATTGAGTCATAAGAGGATCTTGACTGAATATCGTAAAACCAAATGACTAATTTCCCATTTGTGATACCTAACACCTGAGATATGAATGATATCGCAAGTAAATAAAAGTAATTTGTATTGATTGATTTGAAAATTGAGTGGGCCTGAAGGGTTGGAGAAGAATATCTAATTGCAATTTTTCTGACGAACACTGCTGTTGCTTTTAGAATTGTGATTTAGTTTTTAAATTTCACATGCCAAGAGGAATTGACAAAAAGACTGAAATATGAACTGACAATCTAATACAAGAATCACATGTCAGAACATGTTCGTACAAATTCAACTTATAGAAGAGAGAATATTTTAAATGATGTTATTTCAAAAATTGCACCCTTTGAGATTTGCTAATTGCATCCACACAAATTTCGTTTTCAATTGCGATTAATCTTGCAGCCTTACAACAGAGTTAAACTATGTTTTAAAACCTGCTAAATGTAAAAAGGATTTAAACTAAAGTGATATGTTTGCACTGTAGTGGTAATTGTACAGCCTTTTCACATTTGTGAGATACTTGAACCCCAACCAAGCCAGAGCAGCACATACAAGTTCTGCCAACAATTACACCTTGGTGATTGAATAATGGTCCCATTTGTGGCGTAAATAATGAGCGAGAAAATAATTTCACCTTAGTTCGTTTGTGTCCTGACAGAGAAGAGGTTGAACTTTGTGTCAGTTATGACAGTGTACAAATTCTATCTCTAGCTCAATTTTTAACTATGGGCAGTTTAGAATGTTGCGAGGTCAAGTGAACACAACTTACTTAGAGGTGATATTTTGAGTACTTTTGCCCATTTAAAGTGAACAATATGAAGTTAGGAATTGCTAATAATTGAGGCCCTGATTTCTTCCAGATCTAATCTGATGTGTGGACAGGAGATGTTGTAATGCTCCCACTGTAATACCATCTCACAGTTTTTGTTTGTTTCAGGCTGGAAAATATTTAAATCCCGCCAATTTGTTTGAGCCAAATCCAGCTAAAGGCTTTGTCTGATTTGAGGCCGTGAGTAGCTCTTTTGTCTCGCCTTGGAGTGAACATGCAGTTGTGTGTTCAGATTGTAATTAAAGCAGCCATTGTAGCACTCTGATATATATTCAGAGTTGGCACATTTTTTAACCATAACCAAAACATTCTTCCTTGAGTGTGTGTCATGCCCCAGCTAAGGCACGGGCCAGCTGCAGAGAATAAAAACAGACTGGGGGCCTTGCCATTTGAAAAATCAGAGCCTGTGCTAAGAGAGCGGTGCATGACTATGAGGTCATTTAATTGTTTAGAGCATACGTGCGGTCAGCCAGACCCCAATTATGGGTATGGATTTTTTCATGTGTCGAGTGGTTACTATTACTGAGGTGTTCTGTGCATGATGGAAATTGTCCATTTTAAGGCACAGAACAATTGGAGTAAAGTGATATGACAAACTATTCAAATGGTTATTTATAGTTGTATTGTTTTATATTTCTTTCCGTATGGCGGTAATGTTGTACACAGACATGTTTGCATATTAGAAACCCCTCCTGGTGTCCTGAACAGAATAGAAAATTCAAACCAGCAACAACAATCAAATGATCTATTTACATACTCAAATACAGTAAAGGCAAACGCCACTCTGAGAGTCAGTATGCATAATTAGGTGTGTATGTTTTTAAAGCAGGCTATAACTACTTGAATAATGAACTGACTTTTGAATGCTATTCTTATTTCTTAAATGACTCTCAGAGCAGGCAAAACGATGCAGGATAACTAACTCTTCAGACTAAAATCTCCTTTTTTTTGCTGAAGACAAATATCGGGAGGCCTTGGAGGAGAGTGCAGTGGCATGAGTGAGTCCTGAGAAACAAACGCGGCTAAAGGCTGAGGTCATGTTGGGTTTGCAGCCAGTCAGACTGGAGTACTTCCAACAGAGACACAGTGTCTTCATACAAAAGCCACAGTCACAGAACAGTGAGACTGCACTGCACTGTACTTATTAGCCATCCTGTGCAAACCATTCATGCATCTACACTTGTCACTAACATGGTAAAAAGCTGCATTTACATGGTTACTGGGTCTGGGCCAGGTGAGTAAGCTGAAGTGTGCTTATGGATCACTGAGCCCCAAACCTTCTGATGATGGGATCGCTGCTTTACTATATTTGCTTTTCCATACAAGTATGATTGGTAGAATTAGACATTTTGGTGTAAAACACCACCACCTTTGGGTGAAACCCTGTAAAACGTCCTGTTGAAGCCAGGCTCTTTTCACTTGTGCACAGGCCTATGACAGCTGATGTGGGCCAGTATTAGCAGGAATATTGTGCTGCTGAGAAGTTGCTGCTTAGTGTCAGATGACTATTACACATGCCTGGAGCTAAACAAATCTGAAAAATCCATGATAGGGTCTCCGTTCTAAGTAACTTACAATTCATCAAAATTGGCTTGGTTTGAATTGAATAGCTGCTTTATTAATGTGCAGAGCCAAATATTCTCTGGGGTATTTTTGTCTCTGTTCAAATATAAGTAACGTGGCATTTTTCTTTGTCTTCCATGCACTGATCGCCTTTGTCTTGTTCACACCTGATCTCTGTTTTTTCCGTCCTCATGGCAGAATCAGTATATGACCTCCTCCCCAAAGAGCTCCAGCTGCAGCCGTCGTCCACCCAGACAGATCCAGCCTCCATGAGCCAGCAGAGCGGGGGAGAGGCGGGCCCTTCTCCCTCAGCAGCCTTAGCCTCTGGTGAGCTGCTTCCTACATCCCAAAGACCATGGGCTGGGGTCAGGTCCCAGTACCCCACAATTTCCTAACAACACAGTGTGGGGCAGTTGCAGCCTTTGATGGGTTCATGATAGATGAGTGCATGTAGCACTCTCAAAGGTTAAAGCTGCTCAAGAGTTCAAGTTTAGTCCAGTAACATGACACCGTAGCATTTCTTTATTGATAAATATTAAGTCTTGCATGACTGTTCTGTCATTGGATTCTTCATCCTACCAGTGTAAAGGTCAGCTGTATAATCTGCAACAAATACAGTAGTTCCAGTGTGGTGTGTGTCTGACTGCCATGATGCACAATGTTTCTCTTAAGCCCTGTCCTGGGCATTAGATACTTTTCATGTGTTCTTCAAATAACTGTCACTACATTCCATTGACGGTCAAAGAAATCAAGTGTGCTCTAACGGCATGATAACCAGCTTGTTTTTTGTCAGCTCCTTTTGGGGATAATATGCATTTGCTCTGAAACATCTTAAACTACAGATTATGTCCATATTTCAGTCAGTCCTTTCCCCTCCAAACAAGGCATAAAGCATTTTATTATGTTTACGCGTGTTTTCATAGATTATTAAAATAAAGATGCACTAACATCCAGTGGTAATATCAGAGCTGTAAATAGTCAAATACAGTGGAGAGACTGAATCATATGCTAGATTTGTTCATGTGACATTGGTGGTTTTTAATCATAATTTAACATATACATTTTACCTGAAAAGATCTAACCTTGCAAACAATTGATCTTGGATCATGGCTTGGGATTTCAGATCTAATAATATAAGAATATGTTTTAAGTGGTCTATAGTGCTGTCGGATAGGGGGCTTGTGTTAATGCTTATTTACTACTGTTTGACCCAGCTGACCCTAAAGCAGTGCTGATCAAAAGCATGACAACAGAATTACCTTTAAACCTTTATTAACCAAGTTCACATGCTTCAGACTCTATAATGATCTACTTCAAAAGTTTTACTTTCAGTTTATCAACTCATCCAAGTTATTGACAATAGAGTCTTGAATGATCAGCTCTCTTGTTGCTCATTGGCTGTCTCGTTTTTATTGCAGGAAGTTCCCTCTGAGGCAGGGAGTGTCTGCATATAAAATGGTCTGCAGTTCACTGCTCCATAGGTCAGAGGCTTGTTTATTCTGTCTCCATGGCTACGCTCAGTCCCAACCAAATCCTCCAATTGGCATGCGTTAACTACTTAACTACTGAATGCACATTGCACAAACTACTGTAACCTTGGCAGCCCTGGCAAAATTAATTTGGTACCACATTATCAGCTTGCAAATTGGCTCTACAAGAAAGTTTGACGAGATTTTGTCATGTTTCTTTCTGGCAATGTGTATGTAACAATTAGTAGCTTGCTTTTGTTTTTGTAAACAAAGCATGTCACCTTTTGTCACATTGATTTTTATAAATGATTTTGTCAAAATCAAAAACATTGTGGGACCAAAAGTACCCTTCTCAACTTTAACTTCATTATACTAAATCAATGCTTGACTGCCCTTGCATGCACAGTGAGGGTCTAATGTACTACACATCCGTTGAAATTAGAGTTGGGAAGAGGGGAAATGAACACAAATCATGCACAAATTGAATTCAGCTGCTTGAATGGGACTGCTAGCCTGCTTTGAGCTACCAGTTGAAGTCACCTGTTTGTTTGTGTATACTACTACAGATGCCACCTCTTCCACCTGCAGCCCCTCCAGTTCCTCCTCCCTGGCTGTTGGAGCACCATGCTCCAGCCCCTCCTCCGAGCTCCTCACTGTCCCCAAGCACATGCACTCTGGAGAGGGGGCCATGGAGGACACGGTGTCTGCCTCCAGTCGGCCCAACAGCAGTGGATCCACTGCTGGTGGAGACATGGGCTCTGGTACATCAGGACTGGCAGTCCAGCAGACTCAGAACACCCCCTCCAAACGAAGACCTGCACTCAACATATCCCCCCCTCCCGAGGACCTGTTTGATGACAGCCAAATGTCCTGCCAAGAAGAACCTACTGTATCTGGGCCTCCACCTCCAGAGTCGGAGCACAGCAGTAGCATGTGGGCTGATGATTCCCTTTCCAACTTCAGTTTGCTCAGCACTGTGTCCTACAATGACAACAATGAGGTCCCGCGGAAGTCCAGAAAGAGGACACCTCGCCAGCGGCCGGGCCCTAAAGCCACTCCACCCGAGGACAGCATGGATGTGTTTGATGCAGACAGTGCCAAAGCTCCTCATTTTGTCCTTTCTCAGCTGGGCTCAGACAAGAACAGGTGCTTTTTCATCGGCTTCTTTCATTAAAGCATATCTCTAAGTTTAGATGTGTAACTGCTTCTCTGTCGTGCAGTGGTCTGGAGCCGGGCAGTGCAGTGAAGGGTGGGATACTGTGTGGCCAGTTTCCTTCAAGAAGTGATGGCAAAGAGCTGAAGATCCTGGTGCAGCCTGAAACCCAGCACAGAGCTCGCTACCTGACAGAGGGCAGCCGTGGCTCTGTTAAAGACCGCACACAGCAGGGCTTCCCCACCATCAAGGTCTGAATACATCTGCTTGGGTTACAAGTCATTTCCCTTCACATTTTTGTTTAATATTGTTTAATATTTGTTTGTGTGTTTACTTTCAGTTGGAAGGTGCAAATGAAACAGTCACGCTGCAGGTTTTTGTGGCCAACGATGCAGGTCGTGTGAAGCCTCACGGTTTCTACCAGGCCTGTAAAGTCACTGGGCGAAACACTACAGCCTGCACAGAGGTGGACATTGAAGGCACCACTGTCATTGAGATCCCTCTGGAACCGAGTAATGATATGACACTGGCGTGAGTAGTCCACATTGTTCATATTTGTTTTCTGTCATTTCAGTAAGGTGACTTTACTGTTCCTTTTCTTCAGGGTGGACTGTGTTGGAATCCTAAAGCTTCGTAATGCTGATGTGGAAGCCCGTATTGGTGTGGCAGGATCCAAAAAAAAGAGCACTCGAGCCAGACTGGCTTTCAGAGTGAACATTCCCCAGCCCGATGGATCTGTGCTCACTCTGCAGGTCCCATCATCCCCCATCCTCTGCAGTAAGTTACTTCAACTGGATGTGTGCACCTGTGTACTGCAAACATTTCTTGCATTTAAAATCTTCTGTTTCTTCTGCAGCCCAGCCCGCAGGTGTGCCTGAGATTCTGAAGAAGAGTCTTCACAGTTGCTCAGTGAAAGGTGGAGAGGAGGTTTTTATAATTGGAAAGAATTTCCTCAAAGGAACAAAAGTTATTTTCCAAGAAAATGTTTCAGGTACTGTTGGCAATTGTACTAAAGGAAACTGTTGTACTTTTAGATATAAAACAAGTCATTTTTTTATTATGTTTAATTACAGATGATAATTCATGGCAAGCTGAGGGAAAAATTGACATGGACTTATTCCATCAGGTAGATGCGCCTCAGGCACATCAGCTACTTAAGAAACTAATACTTGAGGTGTACATATGTTGTCTGCCTTATGGTTATCTGGTCTTATCTGGTCTTTATTTTAGAATCATCTGATAGTCACAGTTCCTCCATTTCACAACCAGTCAGTTACTTCAGCTGTTTCAGTGGGAATATTTGTGATGACAAATGCTGGTAGATCACATGAGGCTCAGCCCTTCACCTACACTCCAGATTCAGGTACTGCATGAATGAATTTACTACTTTAATATGAAAGCAGTGTTTTTTTAATTCCAATGACTGGTTTATTTCTAATTTTCAGTTGATAACTCAATCCAAACTGTAAAAATAGAAGGCACCTCATTGGTGAAAACATGCATATTTGAGGAGCAGATCAAAACCATGTCCTCTGAGCAGACAGAAGGATCTAGTCCCATGTCTAAACAGGAGGTGACGCCAATGGAAGTATCCAGCCATGCATCAACAGATGTGTTTAAGGTGAGAGTGGCACTGTTCTGTAGGACTTCCATCATTTCCGTGTACTTACTCACTCACTGTGTGCTTTTTCTAGCCGTCCTCTGACACCTTGAGCTCTGTACAGCAGAGTCTTGAGCTCACCTCCAGCCCTCTTCCAGTTTCAGAGTCCTTCCAAAGTCCAATGCCTCTTCAGCCTGAGGATGTAGAACTGCCCCAGGCCCCCGCAGTCTTTCCTAGCCTAGACTCCCTGAGCACTATACAAAAACAGGACATTGCCTCCTCCACTGCATCTTTCCCAGTCTCTGGCGACACGTCCATACCCCCTGTGACTCCAGAGGTGCCCCAGCAGTTCCTCCGTGACCATCAGGAGAGCCCTGCCTCCGAGACATCCAACAGCAGTGGGGGGGTGGTGGTGATGGCTCTGCCCCAAATGGCCGCTCCTCCCCAGCCTCAGTCACAAGTGTCCATGTTTGTTCAGGACGGTGTGGCCCAGCTGGAGCAGGCAGTGCGGGAGCTCCAAGCTGGAAACAATAGCACACTGCAGCAGGTCCTGGAGGCGGCTGTTGCACAGCAGCAGCAGCTTAACTCAGTGCTGTACAGCCCCACACCCTCAGCAGAGTCCCTGCAGCAACATGTCCAGGAGAACATGAACAGTCTCCGCCTGGGGACCAACGACAGCCCGCTCAGCACACAGCAACATCTGCACTTACAGCAGCAGCACTTCCAACAGCAGCAGGTGCTGAGCAACATGCAGATGCAACAACAGCTCAACATTCAACAAAACCAGAACCAAGTTCTGAATAACATGCAGCTCCAGGATCAGCAACAGCAAACCCAGATCCTCAACAACCTACAGATGCAGCAGCAGCACATGATGGACAATATTCAAACTCAGAACATGCAGGTTCAAAGCCAACAACAGAACCAGCTTCTTAACAGTCTCCAGCTGCAGCAACAACAACAGATCATGGACAACATGCAGCAACACAACCAGTCCACAGTGTTAGGAAGCATGCAGAGCCAGCCCAGTGTCCTGGGGAGTATGCAGATGCCAGATCAGCAGCAGCAGAGCCAAATGCTGAACAGTCTGCAGATGCAGCAGCAGCAGCAGCAGAGCCAGGTGTTGAGTGACCTCCAGCAGCAGCAGCAGGTTCTGGAGGACCTCCAGCAGCACCTGCAGGCTGAGCTCCTCCAACCCCAGGGGCAGCAGCCTGTGTCTCTGTTGCAGCAAGCAGCCGGAGAGCTGCTCACCATCCAGACCAGCTTCCCCTCTCAACCGCCCTCACACAGCTCACCTCCACAACAGCTTTTCCAGTCCCCCAGACCACTGGCTGAGACACAGGGAACCCAGCAGCAGGTGCTGCTGCAGAATACCATCAATGCACTGACAGTCGGCACTCTCAATTCTGACCAGCCTCCTACTGGCTCTACCTTATACCTCTCTCCCAGTGCTCCGCAACAGCCGCAGCCGCAACAGCAGCTTGCATTCATTTCCTCCATGGAGACCTCTTCTAACCAATCTCAACCGGTTCCAATGTTTCAGTCCCAGGCTCAAAGTCAAATGTCACAAATGCAGCAGCAGAGCACCCCCATGGAGCAGCAGCAGTCTTCTCAGCAGGCCTCACAGCAGCCCTCACAGCTTACACTGGGCCAGCAAACTTCTTTGTTCCAAAATCTTGCAAACCACTCCCAGCCAAACACTGTCCCCCATAGTCAGCTAGCCCAACCTCAGCAGACCGGCCTACTCCTCTGCACCACTGATATGAATCCACAAGCCATTGCCCCAGCTATTCTTTTTAGCACCCAAGCCCAGGGCCCCACACCTATAGGTGGCATCGGCGTTGGACTCTCCCAGTCTGATACCGCAGAGCCTATGTCTTTTCAGGATGGGAGCTCAGGCAGCAACTCTGCATCTGCCAGTAACCAACAGGCAAGTCTGTTTCAAGAACAGCAGCCCATGCAGGTGGTCCCAAGCTCCAACAGTGTCCAGAACAGTCAGCCAGTGGAGCTGTTTCTTCCCTCAGCATCACTGTCCAACCTGCAGAGCACCCTTAGGTCACAGGACGTACCTAATCAGGCCACAAACAGTGGGCCAACCATCTTTGTGGTTCAGGGTGGTGTCAGTGTAGTAGGCAGCCCTGGCCAGCAGCCCCCTGAGCAACTGTTTCAGACTACTGTCACGGGGAATGTGGCTTCACAGGGCCAGACTAACCTGTTCGTGTTTGGCATTCAGAATGGTAAGAAACCTGCATTATAGCTATGGTGGAAGCTTTGTTTGTGCTGACCGTCTGCTTGTTCCTCTAGATTCTCAGCTGCTCAGTTCTTCTGGAAGCACATTGCCAGCTCAGAGCCAAGCTCAGACTGCCACACACATGCACAGCCTGTTGGAGCAGCCCATGGCTCAAGCACCTCCCTCCAACCCTTCCACCCTGCACAGCAGTCTGCAGAACTCACTGCAGAACTCGCTCCAGGCACAGCTGCAGACGGCCATGCAGAACGCACCCATAGACTCTAGTATGACCACTCCCATGCAGACAAACGTACCCATGCAGACTAATATGCAGAACACTCTGCAAGCCTCCATATCTGCAACCTCTAATATGGATAAAATAGAAGACCTGTTAGAAAGCCTACAGAAGCAGTGATGCATATTGTATCACATGGGCACAGAGGAGTGAGAGATGTAGCAAGTTATACATTATAACACCAACCAATACATGTGGTGTTTGTGCCAACGCTACAAAGATTTTATATATTTAAGATAAAATAGACCCCTTTTCACTTTGAGCCCAAAGTCAAAACTTTTTAACTGTTAAGTGGAGTGAAATATTTATGAGTTGGTGACTTTGCCTTCGTTATGACCCCTCTTGCAGGATGAGAGAGGCCTGTAATAACGGCTTTTAACCATTTAATATAAAATGCAGTGTTTAGTTAGAACTTGTCTAGAGGCAAACACGTGTGAAGTTGTGAGGTGCAGAGGGAGCACATGAAGATGCTTAACACAAGGTCTCAAGCTTTGGAATCAATTCAAATTGACATGCATTGTTTAGATCTCATTATATGAGTGTTTCATTCTGTCCTGGCCAGTGGATTTAACTTATGCAAAAGATAAAGGACTGATTTGATCAATACAAACATAATGTAATTCAGAGATTGGATTTAAGTGTACTCTGAGAGTAAAGACTGTGAAATTCTGTTCATTTCCTAGCACTTATGTAATTAAAGACAAGGTGAAGTGATGTTTTTGAACATATTAAAAGCCAGTCCACTAAAAATTATCCAAGCTTTTAATGAGCATTGAGGTGAAGCTGAGCCTTGTGAATAATGTGACTGGCCTTTTAGGGCATCTCCTAGTGTTAAAGGCTTTACCACCCGCTTCAGGAGTTTTTAGCATTTTTATTTGCATATTTCCAGTTGTGGAGAAGATAACCGTTTTTCCTGTTTTTGTGTGGTTTTATAAACATTTTATCTCTAGCACTTTATAACCTCTGGAACCAGCTAATCCTTATACCAGATCTCAGCTGACCTGACTGAATTTGTACCCAGTAATGTGCATTTAATCTGACAAAAGAACTAATAGGCTGTTGTCTTTATAAAAGGTAAATCCATCCTTACCTGGCATTTCTAGAGAAGTTTCAACTTTGTATCAAACGTCTGCTTACTGGTAGCTTTTTACATAATAGTTGGTGTGTTCCAGTGAAGACCAGCCATTCCCACATTAGCTTTGTTTTCCTAATGATCAGAACCGCTGCTCATCACCATTAGTCCCTGTATTAAAATGAAGGCATATTTGAATCTGTTTGATATATCGATTAGTCTGTTGACTCTTGTGTTTAGAAGTTTGTTTCAGTGTTGGTACTGAATGCAGCTGGCACCCAGTACTGTCCTAGTGTTTGGCAAACAAAATCTCTGTTACATAGAGGCTGCCATTGTGCTTTCATCTTTGGTGCTATGTACAGGAGTGGCTGGCACTTGTGATGTGTGGTTTCTACCTAAGAGAATAGCACTGACATGTTGGAGGTTTGAATGCAGAGCGGGCTGTTGTGGTGAGGTCCGACTGGCATGTACCACGCATACCAAAGCTCCGGTTGTGAATCATCTTGTCTTTGTAAAGTCCCTCATCTTGTTGTTTACTCATTTGTACTTTTTCAAATGAAATGATGCAGCTTATACATTCAGCGTGTTTGCATTGGATATCAAATATTATAAGGTACTTTCTTTTATGGATCATATTCTATCATTAACATTTCCATTAATTTGACATTTCTTTCTGTTACTTTTCAAATACTTTAAGCAAAATCGATACTGCTGTATTTTGCATATCTACATTAGTAGCCAACCTGGCAATATCAAAAGCCAGTTTTTGATAGACGTCAGAATAGCTCTCATGTGATAAACATGTTTACATTTTCATAATCATACTATTTTATCTTGCAACGATAGTAATCCATTTTAAAGTAACTTATCTTTTGTAGAATTTTGTATCCATGTATCAAAATGTAGACTATTTTTGTAAGATATGGTTTTGCTCATAGCACAGAGTATCATTGCTGTTGTAGTTTGAGTGAATTCCAAGTTTTTACTGAAGTAACATCAAGCCGTTGTTAGTGTGGGGTTGATTCATCCTGCAAAATTTGTGACGTTTGGATTGTTGCGTGCTCATGTGTGACTGTTTTTTTTTCCTATATATTTTTTGCATCTCAAATAGCACTTTGACCCGTCCACAAACTGTAGATCAGGTTCGAGCGCAGTACTGATGTTTCCAAGCATTCCATTCCTCTGGGTTAGGGGAGTTTAAGAGCACATCCATGTTATGAGCAGACAGAAATGCCTCCTAAAGCCATACCAACACAGAAAGCCAACAACCTGTGACTTTTCAATGAATGTATTCTTACCTCATGGCGTGGAATCGGCGCTTGTTCTACATCTAACATCGGACCAATTACAGTTTTGGAGAAAGTATATTTTGAGGCAGAGGGAAGGTTGGAGGTGGCATCAACAGGGGCTGCACGATTTTGGCTAAAAATTGAATTACGTATTTCAAAAGATGTTTATATATTATGTGCTTAAGTAAGTAGGATTGCATTAATATTTGAGAGAAGACTGAATTACACAACCAGTCAGGTTTGGACACGGTTATTTCATGTAATGTTTTTACGTTATAGATTCTCACTGAAGGCATCAAAACTATAAATGAATATGAATGGAACGAAGTAAACAAAAAAGTGTGAAATAACTGAAAACATGTTTTATATTTTAGATTCTTCAATGTAGCCACCCCTTTGCTTTGATCGCTGCTTTGAACACTCTTGGCATTACACTAATGAAGCCTGAAGCAGCAGGTGAAAACCATTTCAGGTGACCTTCTCTCATTGAGCTTCACCATGAAGCTCAATGAGAGAAGGCCCAGGGTTTGCAGCACTGTCACCAAAGAAAAGAGTGGTTACTTTGAGGACTCCAAATCTAAAATATAAAACTGAGTTATTTAGCATTTTTCTAGAAGGTAGTGTATTAACTGATAAACTAATTCAAGAATCCCATGAATTTATGATTGTAGAGGCCTAAACTACTGGTAGATGTTTTCTATATCTATCTACACAGGATGTTTTGGTATAGTTTTGGTTCCTGAGAGCATTCTGTTATATAAATGATAGCAGCCTTTGTAATTCAATAATTGCACCAACTCATATTGCGGTTTCCATTGGATTGCAATAAATTGTGCAGCCCAGCAACAACTGTCATTATTGTATATGTAAATTTTTCTGTTTGTCAAAGTTCATATATTGTCGTCCATTTTGGTTTTAAGCAACCCAGGACGCTCAGTCTGACTCTTTGGAATAGTCACTTATGATTTTAACAGGTGGTAAAGATAGCACACAACCCTTTGAACAACCTGCTCCCTTGTAAATGAATATCCTTGTGTGTATATATAAATGTGAAATGCACTGCAGGGGTATCTTGAACTTCAATTGTGATGCTTTCAACAGAACTATTGTGTGCCTTGATAACTGAAGCGTTACTGTTGTGTTGATGTCTTTTTGTGCATCATGGCTACTTTCATTTTCACTCCCTGGACCGTTTTAAAATCTCTTTCCTAAACAACATATAACCACACCAGTATATTTTTTGTGATTTTTTTGTTTTTATTTAATAACTACTTGGATAAATCGCGCAGCTTCAACGGTGAAAACAACGACCTGGTTTGTAAACGATTTTGTAAGCCTCATGAGATTTGTACAAGTGAGGTTAAAAGGGACAAAGACGGAAGAGACTGTTTTATGAATTACAGAGCTTTTTGTGTTGTGCTTGTCGACATTACTATTGTTGCTGTGAATTGCTTGATCAAAAAGGAGCAACCATTATAATAAAAAAGATTAACTGTTTGCCAATAGTGTGAGCCGTACTGTGTGTCATCCATCAGCTCACGTTTCTTATTTTGAGCTCCATTCACTCTTATAACTGTCCTGGCAATTTACCTGCAATTTGTCATAACAGGGTCATGTGTAAACATGTGTAATGTCACTTCCAGGTCCATCAGATGATTGTAAACAATGAAGGTGTTTACAATTTACTCTTTTAGCAACAACTCATCTGACATTAAAAAGAGACTGCCATTGTTTAAAGATTACAAGCATGGATCTATGGTTATGCTGTGACAGAAAGTGTACAAGGGAGGCTTATTTTGAATTCACATAACATTACAAGCAGTGACAGCCGGTTAGTGATATAGACACTGGTAATCCTATGTTTTGCTAGATTATTATTACATTATATACATATGTGATACAGTTTGCAGTTAAACCTGTTCTGAAAGGCAATTGTCTCTTGTTTTGATGAATAAGGAACACAAACAAAGCTAGAAATCAGCTGTGAAGTTTCTGGTTGGACTTGGAAGTGACATCACAACTAAACAACATGTATGTGAAAGAGCACCAAATGCCAGGTTATGTATGAACAGAGCCGAACCGATGCATTTGTGAATGGAGTTCTGGCATTTTACTGGGATCTTTGTGTGAATGGGGCTCTAGTTTGCTTTTACAATTTCATCCTCTGATAGTTCTGTTGCTCTTTATGTTCTGTGTAGCTTGAGCTTTAGTATCTAGCCTTAAGACCCCACAGTAACGGGGGCAAGGTCAACCCGGCGTGTTGTCATGAACTCCAAACTATTATTAACATGTACTTTGCCTTGGTCTGGACATTTGTATACTCTTCTGTTTATATCTGTAATCCTGCTGCTACAATAAATGACTTAATAAAAAAATGTGGTGGTTTTCTTACAACCCTTCAGATTTTAAAATACACATGACAGGTTACACTACTCATTTCACAAAAAAAAAAATTTATTATAGTTTGATTTGGCAATATTTTTTTTATATTATAATATTTTATATATATATTTAGACATTTAAGCAGAAGTTACATAGTATGTATGCTAAACATCATAGCTGTGTGTAAAAGACAACAAACTGATAATCTTGGAAGAGGTTTAAATTATTTGTCATGTGTCATATTGGACATACAGGTCAAACTTGCCAATTTTATCAAAAGGTATATTTTTTAATGATAATCATTATAGTGAAATGCTAAAGTGGTTCCCTTGTTGAACTTGATGCAAGCTAATATTTAGATGAGAACATCACAGGTCTCACATTTTTCAGTGTGAAAAAAAAAAAAAAAAAACAACTGTTGCAGATTATTATTTTTAGCTAGCTACACAGTGCCATTTTGTCCAGTTAAGTGTTAAACGACTCTTGTGAATACTGTTATAGCTTACTGACTTTGAGTAGGTTTTGCTCAAAGACGTGCAGTGCATCCTTGAAATCAATTCCAACTTCAAATTCTGTTTTTTTCTGAAGGGCACAAACAGCAACTAGCATGGCCAACCATGCAGTGAGGCCCCATATCTGATACTGAGTGTTTGAAATAGGGTCCATATAATTAAAGAAATGCAGTGGTCCCACCACACCACTAATGCCTTGAAATTCAGAGTGGTTCTTCTCCTGCGTGAAGAGGTCCAGAGGAACTGTGAACACTGCACTGACCTCTGCTGGGTTTGGACTTGCAGTGAAGTTCTGGTCTATGAAGCCCACGACTGGGGTCACTATCAGCCCACTCTGCACAAGAATTCAGACTTGATTATTGTGCAACCCTCAACAATGTCACTTTTATTCAGTTATACCACATACAATAAAAACTGTTCTATAAATTTACAATAACATCAAATAAAAAGTGTTTGAATTAATGTATATTATGACTATTATTATTATAGCGTAAGGGTTATGAAAGTCCACACCCAGATCTGAATTTAATAATCATGAGAACATTAATAAATCACCTGGCGCGTGCACATTCATGTACTTTTATTTGGATGCTGGGAATATACTGTATCTGTTTGTGACTCAGTATTTTGAGCAAAAATATTTCTGAAGCTTCCAAAATATCTTACAATTCATTTCATTGCCCTGTGAAATTTGTTCTCTTTGTGTGGAGTACTGGTTAACAAGAGAATGGGAATAGGTTGCATTTATGTTTTGGAGGGCAGGGGGCTACATAACTCTACAGGTGATTCACTGTCTGAAATATCCAAACCTAAGATCCACAAATGTACTTATGTTGCTCCCCAAAATATAATCTAATCTAATATACGCAAGCATTTTTTAACCGACAAGAATCACAGGTTTGAATGCTATGTTGAATATGGGCATCACTCTCTGAAGTTATTATGAAAAAAAGCATTTCCATTTTATTTATTTATACTGGCACAGAAGTTATTAAAGGTTGTGCCAGTTCATGTGGCTTGACCAAGTAACTAAAGAGATATTAAGTATAAACTAATCAACAAATCTGACTTGTCCCCCAGCTCAATTTTAAACAAATGTTGTGATGGCATATGAATGCAACCTAAATGCTACGCAGACACAACAATATTTAATACTAAAACTAAGAAACCAAAATACATACCAACCTTATTAAAAACCGGGGCGAGTTTACAGACCACCTCCACTTGGTGCGGCAGGCCTATCTCCTCCTGAGCCTCCCTCAGTGCCGTCTCCACATCATCTATGTCGATGGGGTCCCTCTTTCCACCAGGGAAGCACACCTCGCCTGCATTGGTCCTGAGCTGCAGACATAATGGATTGAACGTAGATGTTTTATTCTATTATTATTTCTTGGATTCGTCATACATAATAGTAAGTAAGAAAGTAATACACAAATACACAAAATTCCATTCAGAATTGAGGTTCAATTTGAGCTCAGGTAAAACAAATATCTGTTAGCTTAAACATTTATTTTACAAAATTACAGTGTAGTCATAGAACTTTATTTGTCAAATAATACGATTCGGCCTTTGTTTAGAAAATGGATGCTTGAATAAAGAACTACATCTACATATGTCACATTGTTGAAATAAGTATTTTGTGTTAATGTTTTAATCAAAAGTGTAGTACTGTCATACGCACTCCGAGTCCAACAAAAGTAAATTAATTTAACAGTACCTCCTTAGAGCGCAGAGTCATGACTGTATATAGCTCCTCACCCTTCACAAACAGTGGGATGAGCACAGCAGCTTTAGGCAGAGCTAAGTGTGCAAACTTGTTCCCAATGTCAAACTGCCTTAGAGTGGCAATGGTTTGTGCCTTAATGTTCATAGTATCTGGGGGGGAAAAGATAATTTAATGTGATTATACAGAAATAAGTTAGATATATATAAGATAGTTTTGTTCTCTTATTGTTTTCTAGCAGTAATTAAATACACAGGCGTAAAGGCTCTCCAAATTCCAGTTTATTGCCCAATTTTATTATTATTTTTTTTTTATAAAATAGAAAAATACAGACTATGGTGAAATCAGTATTATTCTCTAATATTTCCACGCCATTATTATTAATTTTCAGGTTTAAAGAATATTGGCTAATACAATTTTAGTTAAATTAGTTTCAGTCTGGGTAATGTAGAGTGCAAAGATTACTATTGCTATAGAAAATTCAGCTGCCAGGTCTCTAGATTCTTGTTAAAATTAATACCCTTACCCACCGAGTATGTCAACATCCGCATTCATTGACGTAAGGCCTTTACGTAAGGTAACGACACGTCATCGCGTACGTTTTCCTCCAATGCAGTTTTAACTTTAATTTGAACAGTCGTTAAATTGCTACATATGTATTTTAAGACAGATTATTCGAATGCGAAACCTATTTTAAATCTCCAAATATTACATTAAAATAAGTCAAGAGGGTTGTGACGTTTGTAATCGATGACCGAGTTATTTGCACTCTCTTCCGGCCACACAAGGAAAGGAAATACAACAGATTTGGTTTAAACAGAAATTGTATTGCTTTTTAACAGGTTCTCTTTGGAAATAAGAATATTAAATAAATAAATAAAATACAGTACATTCAGAGTCATTTTACGGCATAATGCCAAGTGAAAAACTATGGATTACCCTGACTGATAAACTATAGCCTTATAAATAATAAATCCACTGAAACTAAAAATAACATTATCATAGCAATAAGATATAAATATGCACTAAACTCTGCATATGTTCAGAACATTCAATTATTTCAATATTTAAATATAGAGGTACAGAAATGTTCTTATATTATTTACACGCCACATAAAAAAATAAATACAATTGAAAACACAGCAAACATAAGGTAGATTCATCACAGTGATTCCATGTGGGTCCATCATTTCAGTCTTCCAAGTCACACTCGGTACTTCTCCCGTGCCTGTTCATTTAGTATGCAGATGTGCTGTGAAAATGTTATCCAGAATTTAACACAAGTATATATTTTTATTTCAGTGCCTATTTTTCTGTTCCTGTAACTTACACTAAGATCTCTAAAGTACTCGTTGTAGTCCAGAGCATATCCCACGAGAAAGGCATCAGGCACCTCAAAGCCAATATCTGAAAAATAGATAAATATATATAAATTGAAGAAATATTCATATCAAAGACAAATAATTTTCAACTTTATGAACGGGCTCACTAGTGGAGTGAAATACAAAAAATAAAATTCAATAAAATAAAAAATTGTATTAAATTTGGACACACCATTCCATTCAATGTTTTGAACTATCTTCTACAGCAGATATATATTGACATACTGTAGATACATACTGATGACATATTTAGACAATATATGAAGCAGGATGTATAGAATAGTGTGTATGGACTATGTAGCAAAGGAAAAAAAAGTCACTAACTAATTTTTGTTTTATACATTTTATATTTTTGCTTCAGATTCCTGAGTAGGCACCCTTTGCTTTGCTGACATTGTCACAAAAATCTAGGCTATATGTATTTGTTCATAATTTTGATGCCCTCTATGAGAATCTACGATGTAAATATTCATGAAAATAAAGAAAAAACATAAAATGAAAAAGACGGCATATATCAAAATAAGAGACACATATTCCTGAATTTCTGAATGGAGGAAGGGACTTGCCAAAGGTAGGTAGGGGAGTCAAATGCTTACTACAACAGCTGACCTTAAGAGACCATCTTAACCAGCTTATCCAACTTCAGTCTAAAAGCATTACATAACCACAGGCAGCGACAGTGTGAGCAGCGGATATGAGGCAAGTGATGATGTCTAAGTGCCAGGCTTAACATCTACTGTACTGCAATTCTGTGAAATCCTAGATAGAAAACAGAGTATTGAAACCTTTATTTTCTGATATGTTTTAGGTGACATCTGGTGGTATAATAACAGATTACATTTTCACAAAAATGTGTCTACAGTGTGCAACCTATTTACTCCATGCTCTACATATTACATTTTGACTAAACCATTTTACTACATTGAATTTTATGATTTAAAAAAATCAAGTACATATAAAATATTCCACAAACTCTGGCAAGTGAGAAGGATCATCCTTTGCGTTTTTATAATATGATACAACTTTAGATCCAAGTCTGGAGAAATGTGGAATTGTCAATCAATGAGTTTCATATTTTTTAATAATTAATTTAAAACAAAAATAAAGTGAAAATGAATGGTGAAAAGTTCTCAAAATGTTGCATATTTTGAGGACTTTTATTAAGATGAGACCCATGAATATGTATTGAAAATGTATAGCAGCATAGACTATGATCCTTTGCTCCACTTCAAAGCAGTCAATAAGAAGAATTACTGTAATGTGGGTAAGTATAATTATACCCAAAAGGCTGATCAGGGCATTTGTTTTGTCTATCACACCAATAAGATTCCTTTTCTGACAGTCCCAAGCTCTACAGAAATGACCCTCACTATAAATATTTTTGCTATTTTAGAGGGTTAAAATTGTGATAATGTCATACAATGAGATTTGGATTTTTTGGATCTTACATACCAAAATTTAAAATGAAAAAATACACTGAGGTCAGCAAGCTACTATAAATGTAATAATAAATAGAAGATACTTACAATCTGGTCTGTATCCTGAACTCCTCGGGGTCCTCTTCACCAGGAGACTAAAAAGAAACATTTGTATATCAACAAACAATCACACGACTATCACATTAGGCCAAATCATAGTAGAATTAGCCGAGGTAGAAAGTAACTCATTAGAAATACTAACATTACTGTATTTGAATAGATTTGATGTTGTTATGTATTAAATTGTGGTTTAAAACAACTTTATTTAGCTGTTTAATTAAATACTGATTTATAACTCTACTATAACTCCATTAAAAATTAACTAGTTGAGTATTTTGTGTTTCTATACTTTTTTGCATTGTTTTAACTGTTTGAACAAACCTGGTATCAGTACAGGTACTTGTAATTGAGTAAATTTTCATAGTACTTTTACTTAATTATAAATTGGGAGTATGCCTTTCACCACTGTAATGTAGCAAAGCCGGTTGCGTAATGAAGATACTTATGATGCTAGCACCATTTCACAAGACGTATTGGCTTTCACGCAAACAGCACTTTAGATTCCTATGCTAGCTGCAGTTTTTTTAAATGTAGACATAAACATCACAGGAAACCCCATAGTCTTGCAGAGTTTCCGGTTCACAATAACTGTCAGGGAGGCTGCGTGAAATGTCCTGTCCCGCGCACACTGCAGAGGAGGAGATTAACTCTTAAGCTCCCCACTCTGTCACATTACCACTTTAATACAAGCAGATAGAAGAGGGTCCATTAGCTAAAAGCCACGACGCACTAGACAAGCATACCCAGCATACAGGAAGTCAATATGTCTCACATAGACCCTTGCCCACCTACCTTGCAACTTTAACCATTTTGGGATTGCATTCATTAAGCAGGGACAGTAGCGTCTGCATGGTTCGCCCAGTCTCTACAATGTCCTATTTCAAACAGATAGTAAAAGGTTAAAATACATACAAATGTACTTCGAATGTTGAAGTGATGTTAGTTTAGAAATTGCTATTTTAAAATGACTTACCTCTACAATTAAAACATTCTGTGAAAACAAAATAAAGACAATTCACATTTGAAACTCAAAAGTACCATTTACTATGCTTCTGTGACACGCTTTATGGGCTAACCTTGCCAGCAAGTTTGGACAGCTCATCCCCACCGATAACTTTGACGTTGTTGGTAGATTTGTCATTCTAAGGAGTACAAAAGAAGAACAGCTTACATTTGTGTTTTATGTTTATATTTGGAAACTAGAATCACTTGTGGATTTACATGTTAAAATGTAATCTGTAACCAAATGAAAACTGCAATTTGAATGTTGTAACCAGCAATTTTGAGACTGTAATTATGTAGGTAACGTAATGTTCTCTGCAGGGAACACAAGTCTCCATGGGGTCTTATGTCTAAAACGTGTTAGCCCTGTAGTACGGACCTCTACAAACATGGTTAGATATTGAAATTGCTAGTGTGTTTAGAATATGCACTGTGAAATTAATCTTGATTTTGAAATGTTTATTGTAAGTTTTAAAGTGTACAGTGCAACTTCTCTGGTGTTGGGTCTGCAATCTGCTTGTCTCCATGGATTGATGTTATTTTGCATTGAATGTTCCACAATATGGCATTACACTGATCAATTTTGTGTTTTTTTGTTTTGTATTGTTTTTTTTTCAATTACAGGTGTTTTTATTGGTAAAAAAAAAAAAAAACATGCATTCTTGTTGTTAGTGGTTTTGCCTTTCCAAATATCTGACCTGTAATTTGGCTCGGTGGCATCATCTGCTTGTGCCCACAGAAATAGAAAAGTTTCATGCCTTACTGTGGAACATTTTTGGTAAGGCAATAACATCTCCATGGAGACAAGATCCTCCACCAAAAACAATAGTGTAACTTTTAAATCATGAATTTCCTATTAGAAAATCTTGAATACTACTTTAAATACTTGTGCAATTGTGTCTTTAGTATCTGCACTATACAGTATATGGACAAGAGCCAATTTGTGACTCAGTGAAATTGTTTTTGGTCCTCCATTGCCAAGTGGCTATTAGTACAAATGAGAAAGAGGGCTTACTTACACAGTAGCTTTTTACTCTAATGAAATCCACTGTCAGCGGCACTGATTTATCGCTGTTCTGGTTCAGGGCTTTTATGTAGTCCAAGAGATCTGCAAAGAACTTGTAGCCTCCCTTTAGAACGCATAAGGCAACGATGTGGTGTCCTCCCATGTCTTGGATTATGTCACGGGCCAAGCGCTCAGTCCTTAAACAAGCAGAAGAATGTGCTTTGCCTTTATTGGTAACTTATATTGGAAATACATTGAGTCCTGCAGAAACTAGTGTTGGACATTGTGGCTGGATTGATTTGTAATGCAAATATAAAGTTGTGTTGAGTGAAAGAGCCTTCTAATAGTAGGCTATACAAATGGTACATGGCTTACCTGTCCATTATGAGTCCATGGGGGATGATAACTTTATCCAAATCGTTCTCATAATGTCTTGGCACACAGAATAGATCCAATTCATGCCCCTTTTCATCGTCTGCAATCTAAAACAACAACACAGGCAATCTCATCAACCATGCGCAATACGGTTGGCACTGCCACTGACAGATAACGTGCGTTTTGCCAAGAGACGCCAAGTAACCACTCCACTCAACCACCTGCTTACTGAAACCAGAGGGAGCGCAAACGAGGCATTTTGACACTGATGGGAAATAAACATATCACCTGCTCAAGAGCTATAACCACGCCCCAGATACTAAACAAGTTGGAGGCAAAATTGTGCGGAAAAACAAGAAGCGTTACCTGGAGGTACGAAGTCATGCTGGCAGTTTCAGGATCGTGACGTTCACTGGCAGCGGGATGTGTGAGAAGACATGTCTGTGCAGAGAGTGAAGGGGGCGGGGGTTGTTGTTGACTGGAGGTAGCCACGCTCTCTCTTCGGGTCTTCGCGATATCTGTAAAGGGGCGACACGCGAAAGAGCTCTCCCTTTGCAGTATCGCCAACGCACGGTCCTCCTCCTCTCCAGCGCCTCCTCCTCTTCTAAGCCCGTTACGTCAGAAGCCACTTTACCTTTGCCTTAATCTGATTTGCCGAACACATCCTTAAAAGATGCTGGTTCAGTACCAGAAAGAGTGCAACTGTGCGTCTCTCTACTCCGCCGGGATTATGGAGTTTGCACGTGACAGTAGCGCACCGTGGCTGTATGCGCTTTGTATAACATCTGCATAAATAAAAAATAGAGATAGGATACCTTCACAACGTTTGGGCAGCAGCGATCCATGAGCAGCAGCAGCACCTTTACTGCTCATCTCCGTCGGTGCGCAGATGCGTTGGGAAGAGGACACAAGGGCGACGGACGGTGGGGAGGGGTACAGGGTACAGAGTCACAAAGCCTACTGATGCTGTTTCAGTGCCCCAGTGTTATATTAATATAGTACTAAAGTATTAAACAGATGGTTATGCAGTTGTGATGCGGCTGGTATTATTAAATGAACTGTAAGCCTAATATATTGTTCTCACTGTCTCTGGAGGCTGTGGGTATGGCGGGTTACAGTTAGATTTAATATTATGCATTTATCTGCTGTCTTCCTTGCTAGAATAGACCAACACGGCAGGACATTGAACAGCTCGTGCGCGTTCACTTTTTCTATAACCCACTGCGCTGACCAAATGCGCTCTACTGAAACACTAATAGGAACCAATATTATTATGCTGAAAAGTAAATGTAGTGTACCCAACATAATACAATAAATATACAATAAATAAATAAACAATATTAATTGTTTATTTTGTTTAGTTTTAGGAGGCAAAAATCTGAAACGAGTAAGCAAAATTTTAACACAAAATTGAAAAGACAGACTTTAATATGATCCCACTTTCTGAATATTACAGAAACAAAAACATCTCTCATTTTACAAAAGCTATATGAGGTGCATGGCAACTATGAAAACAGAAGAAACACTCTTAATTGGGAACACGGGAGGAGCCCACATCATCTTCGTTAAGTATATTAAGAGTCTTTTGAGTGCCGTTAACGACCCAAGGGCCAATCTCAAATGACATGGCTCCCCTTATAGAGTCCTACTTTTAGACCCACATGCGGATATGAGACGTGGGCTTAAGTAGAGCAGCATCCAAATGGAGACAGCTTCCTTTGAGAGCCACAGAAAAAGAACACTTATTTCTTCTTCTTGTCGTCTTTCTTGGCCGCGTCTGTTTTCTCTTTTTCTTTGTCCTTGTCGTCTTTCTTCTCCTTGTCATCCTTCTTTTCTTTCTTTCCTTCATCCTTCTCCTGGCCCTCCTTCTTCTCAGCATCTCTGTTGGCGATCTTGTTGTTGATGAGGTTATGCAGGGCCACCACCGAGCGGATCAGCGATGCCAAGTATACCACCAACATCTGGTCGTTGGTCTTTAGGTAGAAGGCTTTTGTGAACTCCTGGGGGATAAAAGGATTTTTTATAAACAGTTCATTTAAATATGAAAGATGTTGTGAGTTGTCATCACTTCATTTTTGGCATAATTCTGAATGTATTAATCCAGGGGTATTTATAAATAGAAAATTCATCAAATTTGCAAAAGCTAATGTGTTACAATTTCATCATCTAGAACTGTTGGCTTGCCCTCTAGTGGACAATATAGATCTGACAAGAAAACGTAACGCAAATTTTCTATTGCATCAAAATAGCGAGAACAACATTCTAAATATCAATAACAAAATGTACTCTTTTTTTCCTACTTCAGCCCTGAACCTGATTCTTCCCATGTATCTGAACAAAATATGTCTTGCACCACAGATATATCTCTTTGAAGCATGTTGTCCGATAATCAGCAAGTGCGCATTAGCATGCCAAGTATTGTTAGCATTACCATCATGGCAAAACTCTGCACTGGTCTTTCCAAGTTATAAACTCACAGTAGCCTATTAGGATGTACAGAATGTATAAGGTAAATGAGGAATAATTTAAGACCACTGCAAACTCTTTAAAGGAAGTAGTTAAATTTTTTCCCATTTTTAAAAGACAATACAAATCAGGTACAGTGCCTTTTAACCAATTTGTAATCTTTTTCTTTTATTATTCTGACAATTAATGCATGTCATTTGGAAGTGAATTGTTTGACATTTTCATGCCTTATGCCTATTCTCCCATTATCGCACTCTTGTTCCCATTCACATAAAGCCCTTACCAGTAGGTTGACATCTGGCAGCAGGTTGAAGACATCCTGCAGTTGGTAGATGATCTGGTGGTTGATGGGGAGTTTTCCAGCAGCAACTCTCTCCAGGTATGAGCGGATGTCCAGCAGTTTGGAGTTTAGCCCTTTGAGGCCATGGACCTGGTTTGTGATGCGCTGGGACAATGTACCCACTGTGGTGTCTTTTATATCTCTGAACAACAAATACAAAACAATGCTGATGATATTTTCTATTTGATCATTTTGTCCATCACAAATATTTTTGCTAAACACTAGTCCCATTCAGAATGAAAGGACAACGGTTTAATGTAGATACCATTGGTCCCCAATCCTGTTCCTTAATTCATCAGTAGTATTATCAGTAGTATTATTGAAAATGATTACTCAAAATAGATCCCAAACCTTTGCAGAACTATAACCTATCCATGTAGAATTTATTCCAGAAAGATCTAAAAATCTATAGATGTGTAAAGTTTTTAAGCCATGTGACAATCCAGGGTGCTGTACAAGGTGATAGATCTGTAGTGGTTCGTTTGTTTAGAGAATGATTTTGTTATTAGATGCTTTTTTTGTTCATACATAACCATGACTAATGTGGAGCAAATATAAACAAATACTTTGGAAAAAAAGTTCAATTTCACTTAATTTTTTGTGATCACCTTAGCAAATGCTCCACTCCAACTTCCTCTGCTTCCTCAGCTCCAATCTCACTTGTAACATGTTCAAACGTCCTAGAGGTGGGAGTGCCATCCTGCAAATAACAGACTCAGTGAGAATGACTTCACCTCAAAAATCTAACAGAAAATGAAGAAAACACTGAACTACTGTTCGTGTAAACTTACATCATGGATTTCCTCCACTGAGATGTAAGCTTCTGTAGGCAGGCCCAGATCTTTTGGTTTGACATCTATGATGACTAATACCTGTGAGTCAAATAAAACAGCAACAGCATGATTACTGACAATAAGTAATTAATTCATAAGTGGATCTAGAGAAAGTAACCCAAACCTACAGAGTTAGTGCAGTACTGTTTGATGAGCTCATTTATGGCGATGTCATTTTTGTGCAACTTTGGCCCTGTGTGGTACCATCCCACTATCCTTTCTCTGGCTGTGAAAAAAATAAGGAAATAAAGAAATTATTACATGCAGTGAGTGAAAGTGATGTCTTTTTTTTACATATATATATTTTCAATATGTCATTGATAAAATTCATACAGATTGAAAATTCCAAGATAGAGCAGACTGCACTGCTCTGGAACAGGGTGCAGAATTGACTGTACAAATACAATACAAATGATCCTACAATTTTTTTTAAATTCTATTTCTAAAATACTATCTAAAAGTATTTCTGCCACTATAAACAGTAACCTCATTCTCAAGCAACATTATGATCCAGATCTAAAATGAATGTTTGAAGCTATATTAAAAGGTATGACTTCTCTTCCAAAACTTAAGTTACCCATCTGAATGACTCACTGTATTAACAATGAGTTTTCTTCAGCCAGTGTGTGTGCTCTTAGTAAAAAACAAGTTTAAACACTGCTGTGACTTACCATTTACTTTCTTAAACATGCCATACATGTTCTCTAAGTAATCATGGTCCAAGAACCACACCGAGTCGTCCCGGTCATCTTCGTCAAACGGCACTGTAAAGAAAAAACGTTTATTAATTATAACTTGTAATATTTGTACTAGTTATTGTTTGCTGATGAACAGCTTTGCATTCTTGAAAACGACACAGACAGCAGCATACACTTATTACACAAAGCACTGACACTTACCTGCAAAGCTATTAGAAACATCAAGAACCTTTTTCTGCCACGATCCCAGAAGGACACCGACCACTCGCTTCTGATTTCCAACTTTCCCTATTCTGTGAAACAAACAGATTTGACATGAGTTAGCCGTTCATATACAATAGTCGTGGTGGACAGCGTATCTGCCTGAGAGAAACTGGAGTCTTCAACACTCATCAAGTACCCTAAGGAACTAGCTAGCAGTTATTTTATTCAAATCTAGTAGTCAAACAAAACACCACATCCACGGAGCTAACTAGCCGATGCTAAACGTGTTCCCATTCACTGTCAATGGCGCTCTGACTCAGCACTGCTAATCGTAGCTGTCTGTAGTCACAACTTAGCGTAAAAGCGCATTTCCACTTCCATTAATTAATCGAATTCCACGTATACAAACCTGTTAAAATGATCCACGACACTGAGCAGGACCAGGGGATGAACGACCACATTTTCTACCGCTAAATCCGGCATTTTGTCAATAAAGATAAACACCAAAGCGCCGAGCCACCGCTGTACAATGACGGAGGACTACACTTCCGGTAATGTGTCGTCACTTCCGTTTCCAAGGGTAACAACAGGACGCGACTGGAGCACAAAGCATAGTAAAAATACTCCACAAAGTATGATATGGTAACTAAACATATATAAATACATACACAGCTCATCTACCAGTTTATTTACATGAAAATGTTGTATGATAACAAAGGAATATGATAACAAAACATTATGGCCTATATTCATCGTGGTCATACCGGCTTGTCAAAGTCTGATCCCGTCAGATCTCACAAGCTAAGCAGGGCCTGGTCTGGTTAGTACTTGGATGGGAGACCGCTGGGAATTACAGGTGCCACAGTTGCCAGTGGCAAAAACTGTCCTTGTGTCCTTAGGCAAGACACTTCACCCACATTGCCTAATATGAAAGTGACGTGTGCGTGAGTGATGGTGGTGGTCGGAGGGGCTAATGGTGCAGATTGGCAGCCTCGCTTCTGTCACTCTGCCCCAGGGCAGCTGTGGCTACAGTAGTAGTTAGTAATGATTAAGAATTTACTGTATTTATGTAAAATGTTGATTTTTTTATGCTAACATCTCTAGCTAACGTTTTTATGCAACTAACCTACATTACTGAGTAAGTACACATTTACCTCGTGTTTTTTACGTAATTTTATTTAAAAATAATTCCAGGCTGAAGTTGAGGACAGACTGAAGAGAAGCACATGAAGGAGTTGCTGGAACAATAGTTGTGAATCCAGAAGGTAAGATTTCCTGGTAAAAATGCCCATATAACAAAGATCTGCAGCTAATTCAATGTGTATATATATATATATATATATATATATACACACACATATATATCTTTAGGTCTTATGGGTAGAGCAACCATGGACAATTTAACCACAGCTCATAATGCACATCTTCTGCGCAACTTCACCATGAAAGCAAGGAATACAATCAAAGAGACTGACCCTCATTTGCACTAAAATACATGAGATTATGGGTGCATCTGGTAAGTGGATTTGCAATGTTTTATATATTTTTACATTAAATAAAAAAATAATCTATCCAAGTTGTTTCATGTTGCAGAGAATGATCATCTCCTGATAGTGTTCCAGAAGATCCCAGGTGAATAGTTTCTTAGACATGTTCATACTCACTTTGTCAAATGCCATATTTGTATTGTATTTTGTTTGATTTTCACTTTTCATAACAAAAAGAAAGTTATTAATCACTGGGTATGGACTGTTCTTAAATGCAAATGAAAAATTGCAGAGAAGTAGAAATAGACTTATTTATTTCCCCATTTAAACAAAATTAATTGCAAACAAAACAATAAAAAGACCCTTTTTAAACAAATGTTTTAATGTAAATCAGAATGTACAACATTATGTTAATAAATAATTAATTACATGTATATATCTCATGAAAATGACAATGCGGCTGATTGAAAGAGAAGGTGGACTTTCACAGCATGTCTGTAGGTACAAACAGGTCTGTGGGAAGGTCAAACTAAGATGTTTTACAGGTCTTACTTGTATTGAGCAAAACTAAGCATCAAACGACCATGAAGGAGTCGGCCTACTTTATTGTAATCTATTTGGGAAATGTTTAAACTTCTTTATCCTCTGTAATCAGTAATTCTCTCAATGGTTGTGACTGCCATGAGAGAAATATGGAGGAGGATTGGAGCTCCATCATCTGACAGTTTTCAACATATTCATTATAGATTATCCCTTGAGATAATCCAGATCTTTCAAAGGAAGGCTGACTCACTGTAAGTAAACATTGCAAAAGGCATGTTCAAAGCAGCACAAAAAAAGTTTAATTTTTTTCTTACTTCACTGTCGTCCCAAATCACTGTTTCAAAATGATATTCTGACCAGCAGCATTCTAAATAATATATATGGCTTCCCACTTTAAATGCTTGTAGAACAAAACATACAAATCCTTCATCTATCACAACTGACCAATGGAAAATTACATAGACTTAAAAAAATGTCACAATAATTATTCCCCATTGTTGATTATATTTTTAGCTGTAATTCTCTACCAAACCTTAATCGGCACTCAAACAACTTATTGTACACATTAATTTACACACAGCAAGGTACCACACAGACAACAGTCAAGTATTTCTTCAAACATAAAAAACAACATTTCAAGTGCATCCTGTCAAGTTTTAAGGCCTGAGGTGTGCTTTGATTCCTTCACTCAAATGCCTCACCACTGTGGTCCAAGGAGGCTATTTGTGGAGATGTAAGGATTTAAAGAGGACAATTCATTGTGGCTCTTAAAAATATTTAGAACATAAATAATGTGTATGTGAGAAAATCCTCTTGTGTTGCTGCACTTACAATGTCACTTTTAAATAGTTAACTTTGCAGGCTACTGCCTGTCAACTGACTAAATAGAGGGAATTTAAAACAATTATGTCCAAACAAGATAACATTAGAGCTACTTTTTGTAATTAATCATAGCTGACCTGGCCTTGTTGTATTCTCACACCTGGACCACTCTCACCACTAGATGTTATCTACATTACTGCTTTCTGATAGTTTGCTGGTTTTGGCCTGACAGAAAGCAGAGAGCACAGGTGAGCCTGAACAAAGGCCAGGTGAGAGGGATCAGGTTTCACATCTGCCATCTACAAGTAAGAAAATCAAAGAAACGTTTGGTAACTTTAAACATACCTGAATTAACCATAAAACATTTTATGGGTATATTTTTAGGTGTTCAAAAAGTTGATTTTAACAAATTTAGTTTCCCTTTGAGTGAGAATGTAGCTAGGAATTAAACTTTCAGGGCCCGATCTTGCCCCAATCTTAGCACTCAGCGCAAGTGTAGGGTGTGGAATTCTAAACAAGAGGAGTGCCGTGGTTGAATATCAGGTGGAGTGGAGCAGACTGAGGGCGTGGTGTGGCGTGGCGCGTTCAGTGAATTGCCAGAATCATAAAAATCAATATCAAACGAGTCTGCTGAAAAAGAAACATGTAACATGCTCAAGGCTTCTTTTATTTGGTAATACATTAGGATGATAAATGCTTAACATTCATAACATGTTCCTGTGCTGGGCAGGAAACTGTCCGGATGCTCTCCTGCAGCAGATCACAACCCCTTGCCCGCTCCCTGTATCGGCTCAGCTCTGCTCTATTGTTTGGTTTGATCTGGATCTGTACGAAAGCTGTTTATTCACACAAGACTGTTTACAGCAATGTCCTAAAGTGTGTTTTCTTACCCTGTCTGTGTTCCTAATGCTGCTATGTCGATTTCCTCACAATCTCGCGACCGGCTCTGCGCACGCATTCACTGACAGCTCAGGGCTGTGACAGTGGAGCAGATGCACGTATCATATCTGTGCGCAAAGCGGTAACATCAGAAACATTTGTATGACAATAAACATATTCCATAATCCGCGAGACATGCACCTGTGTGGGATCAAATGCGGTGGACCCGAGAGACGAGAATGTTAGCGGTCAGCAGGAGCAACATTGGACACTCGTACCTCAGGTGAGTCTGTGGTAGTGGACTACTGGGACAGGCGGGAGCGGGTGCAAGAAAGCAGCGGGTCTGCTGTTGGATGGGGGGCACATGAAATAGACACTGGTCTTAAATGAACGCAGAGGAAACTATAAAAGGTTGATGTGTGCACATGCACGGGCTTACAGCAGTGCGTATGAGTGAGAGGGGCACACGAGCGCACGGAATGTTCAGAACACAAACCCAGTCAGTTCTGTCATGGCCTATACAAAATTCTATAACCCTGGTGCCTCTGGTGTGTACTTGCATTGTTGTCTCTCCAGAGTTGTTTTACTGTACACATGTATAATTCTTCCCCACACCCCTTTGTGCTGCCTGATACTGAGGCAAAGATTGCAGACATTACCCACACTGGCAGTGCTTTTAAAAGACACACGGTCACAGATTGGCTCAGATGCCATCACCATATATGTACTTGTACAATCCCACTCCAGCCTCCAGCAGCGAAGTACAGCCCCACCTGGACACGCCCCCTCCTTAACACTTGCGCTTACTGCTAAGATTGGGGGCAAGATCGGACGCTCAATGTTCTATCTTAAAGCCATCATGAAGATAATAGCAGTGCCGGTACGGTCTTGCTACAACCTGGGCAGAAAGTTGCATTACCCATATATGGTCACAGCAGTTCCTTTGATGGATATTTCAGATAATCCTTTGCACAGCACTTAATTCTGGAAAATCATCAAGTAGGGAGTGAGGCTTGGACGGCGTGCCTTGTTCCCTCAGCTACTCTGGTGCTGTCCGCAGCGTATCCGTGGAAAAGGTCAGTGTGGGCAGGTCACCTTGGCGCGTGTCCATTGACTTGGCCCCTGCCCCACTGCACGTTAGGCAGAGTTAGACACCTCCTGAAGTGTTCCAGCTGGGCCTGCAGCCTCTCGTTCTCCTCCCGCACTCGCTGCCTCTGACTCATCAGCTCCTGACAAACCAAGGGCGGATGGATGAGAGAGGACAAAATAAGATTGCTGTCGTCAAAAAGCTAAAAATAACATGAATGCACCAATACAGAGTTTGATAGTGACAAAGAGGGATGTCATCGCTGTAACTTACCGCCATAGTGTGGGAGAGCTGTTCGGCAGTCCGAGTGAGATGGTGGTTTTGTGCTTCGAGCTTCTTGCACTGGCTCTGAAGGACTTGTCTCTCTATACTGTGCTCTGTAAATATTTTATATTGTACATATTAAATATTTTAAAAAATATATCTTACTAAATATAAGTAAGTATTTTTTTTAATCTTGTTCCGTGTAACACTGGACATGAAAAATTTCTTACACCCTGACCTTAATAAGACCAGCTGAATTGAAATTAATTTAAAATACTAATCATTACAAAATCTAGCCTACAGCAAATGTGACTGTGCTAGTTCAGAAAATACAGTTTATCTGCAGTCATTTAATATTTTATTAATAATAAAAATATTAAATATTGTAAGTAAAGTAATGAGAGTTATCTATAATTCTTTTTTTTTTTAAATCATTGATAAATATACTTCAACATCCCTGTGATTTCAATTGATTCTGTGGTGTAAATGGGTAGATTTAGCAGACTAATAGACCTTGTAGTCAAGATAAATCATCTGGTTCAACATTTGTAATTTTTTTTTTCCTTCAACAGTACCACACACCTTCTGCATACTGATGATAGGCTTCAAAAATAGCCTCAATGCCTTGCCACTTTCTTGGAGCTTCTTCCATCTCCTCCTCTTCATCTTCCTCTTCATCCTGCCCTGACTGGCCCTCCTCATCAGACAGGGGCTCGTATGCTGATAGTGTGTCTCGGCTGGCCCCATGGGGAGGGGCGTGGTGACCGTTGATGTACTGAGAGCTCTGGTTTGGATGGGGGCCTTTCAGTGGAGAGGCTTTGTGAGGCAGAGACAGGTCCGAGTTCAAGAGCCCATCTGAAACATAAGACTTTATTAATATTATCTCAAACACAATAACTATGAAGGTGTAGCTGTAGTATGAGCGATGTTTTGATGATTTAACTTAAAATATCAACTAACAACTAACCCTTTATATAAATGTAAACATTGCTTTGTAGATGTAAATAGTAAATTGCTTTAAAAAGCATTTTAAAAGACTAAATAATGATTTATCAATTATAAATAAAATAAATTAATAAATACTTATTTTGTGGTAGAACCTTTTCAAAGTACAAGCATTTTAACCATACCTCACAGAAGAGAAAAAGTGTAGTATAAAACAACACATTATGTGCATAAGAGCTGTAAGATAAGACAACTCCACTAGATGGCAGCACTAGCTTATAATGCTCACACTCAATTACCTCTTTTTGATTACTCACCCTTGCTATGAGTGGACTGGAGGACAGCCTGGTGGAAGTGCTGAGCAAAAACCTCTGGTGTGAACTTTTCCCAGGGCCGACTGCGGCCATTCTGCCCACAGACGGGTGTCTTTTTCAGGGGAGAAGTGACGAGACCATTCTGGAGGTTATGGGGCTTCCTGTTTGGTTCCATAAATTCAGTCTTTTCATGATGGGGGTTCAGGGATGTAGGAATGCGTGTCACCTGGGGATCCAACGAGGACTTAAGTGCATCATTACAGAGCGGGTTCTTAGGTTTGTGCAGAAAGGGAGGTGAGGGACTGGGGGAGTCTGGGTAAGGATGTCCATTCGAAAGAGAGATAGATTTGGAGTCACCTATGTAAGATTGAAAGCGGTAATAGTTAGCTAGATTAATGCACTGAGTTTTTTAGTGTGTAGCTACAGTAATCTTACCGTTTAAGGGAGGTGGAGATGGAGTGCTGCATGGTGGTACAGGATTGTATCTGATAGTGTCCAATGTGACAGTCTTCTTCTTAATGGCCTTTAGCAAATCCTCTGCCTTCTGCTTTTCTGTGGAGCAGAGGAGATGCCCAATTGCCTTAAAATTAGGGATTAACTGTTTCATGATAAATGAAATGAAATAAACACAATAAAAATGTCCTGGGATTAACCAAATACAATAATAGGATATATAACTGGACAACATATATGTAAGGGTCTTTTCTTCATTATTTATTTCATACTACATAAGGTATACATTTAGGCTTAAAACAACTAAAAAGAAATAAAGCCCAGTTTGAAAAGTCAATTTATTTTAATGTTAGGTTTAAATTTTTTTTTGCTATGCCCTTTTCATCATGGTAAACAAACCAGTCCCACTAGGACTAACCATAGCATCTGTGCATGGGAGAGAATAGCACTTGATGTTAGCAGACTCAGGCTCACCTCTCCTCTGTGCGGGGCTCACGTGACTAAGGTTAAACATGCTGAGGAAGTCCTTTTTCTCCCCCAGGTCAGGCGTGCGGTTCATCTGATCAGCCGTGTATGGTGTGCTCAGAGCTGGACAGGCTTTCTTCTTGACTTGAGAGATGGGTGGAGAGGGACTACGCTCCCTCAGCATCCTCCTCCTCTTCCTCTTCTTCTGTGCCAGGATCTCATTGCGATTTGATAGTGTTGTTAAACCACACATGCTCAAAAACTCCACTTTCTACAAGACAAAGAGAGGTCTAAATTAAGTAATAGTTTGGTGAATAACTCTTGCAGGTGTGGTAGGTATTAGTCTATACCTCTGAGGAAGTGTCCAGTTTAAGTGGAGGTTGATCGGTCACTCTTCTTAAATGAGCTTTCACTTCCTCTTCATCGCTTTCATCATAGGATTCATCCATGTCATAGTAATAACCTAGATACACAGAAACAATATTTGTGATGTAAATAATGTGAAAGTAATGTATTTAGTCACTTTTTTTTATTCCGTGGATTTTAGTTAGCCTGCTCACCTCCCTCCCGTGCCTCCTTCCTCCTCCTCTCTTCCAGGTCCAGTTTGCTGAGCAGCTTCCTATGTTGCTGCAGGACCTCGTCATACACCAGCAGGCTGTCAGGCACACGGCTGTGTCTCTCTCTGACAGGAGAGGGGGAGCTTCTACAGTCCCGTACCCCCAGATCAGCACTGCTCAGGGGGGCAGACAAAGGGGCACAAGCCCTCTGCTGGAGGTTATTGATGTGATGCCGTTGGTAAAGACTCTGAATAGTTCTGTCCTGCTCCACTTTGCCCCAGGAGGCTGCATCATGTAAGCTGGCCCCCCTCATAGAGGGGATCCTCTCTAAGCCCTCAGCTCTCCTTCTGCTATCCTCTGCCCTGTCCCCCCAGCTTAGGGGAGGTCTCTCTGTGCGAGTCAGTCCAGGAGGAGGGCGGCTGGGGGGTGTGGAAGGGGTCAGCTTTCGGGCTGGAGGGCTATCCACAAAGGAGGCTGGGTTCCACAGTGTGGTTGGTGGCACTGAGGGATTAGGGGGACCTTTAGGAGAGATAAGCGGAGGTGGTGCACCCAGGGAGGGTGGGGTGTCCTTACTGTGTGAATTCTGATGAACAGTGTTGGGTCTGTTACAAAGAAAATGTTATTATTTTCTTATGGTGTTTGAAGAGTGCCAAGGATAAAACTAAACAGTCCCTACCTCGGATTCTCTCTCCAATGCTCCAAGCCTTTCCCAGGTGAGCGCAGGTCCAGCTCCAGAGGACGCTCTCTGTCTTGGCCTCTTTGTCGGGATAACCACACTTCCTCATTCATCCTCTGAGTCATCATGGCAGCTGCCAGAGCACTGTGATGCTTGCCCATGTGCGAGGGCACCAGGCTGGGCACAGGGTGTGGGACTGCACCCCTGGAGGAGTGCAGGTTGGACTGCAGCAGCAGAGGTTTTGGCGCAGTGAAACCTAAATGCTCAGACTCCTTGGCTTTATCTATAAAACAAAAACAGATTTGTTGAGAAGACTCAATTTCATTAGTTTGTCACACCCATCAATAAACACATAAAAACTATGCTTATCCTTCAAGGATGGTCTTTGATTATATATTCATGAGCTTCTAGACAATGTAAAAAGGGTGGAGGGCCTCTGATTCAGTTACATGTAGTGAGGCCAATTAAGCAAATGGTCACTTTCTCATAAATTAAATAGTAATGCTCTTTTTACCTCTGCTTTTCATAGCAGCTGGTTAGTGACCTAATCAAAGATCAGTAAAAGATAAGTTAATATAATCCACATTGTTAATGTTACCCGTGGCCAAGACTGTGGACAAAGGTACATTTACACCAGAGTAAAGGCAGTTGTTCGGTCTCTGTTCTCCTCCTCTGATCAGCCCTGAGCCCTGCTCTCACTTCACATGTACTACCCTCACAGCTCAGTTCAGTGGGTGAGTAAATCATAACATATGGCCTGTTCTTTGTCTACACATTGGTGAGAACACAAGTATGTGCCATGTGCTTGTGTAGAGGTACCCGGTCTGTTTGGGGTCAGCCTCTCTCCTGGCCGTGGCCTGTCCTCCGGCAGTGCCCTGCGAGCCTGCAGATCAGCCAGGTAGTGGCTCTCGGCTCCTCGGACCATCTGCTGCTGTCTGTCCCGGTGACGCTCCTTCTGTCTGTCCGCCTCGTCCTCCTTCTCCCTCTCTCTTTCTCTCTCTGCTCCCTTGGCTGAGCGCTCCCTCTCTCTTTCTCTCTCCGCTCCCTTGGCCACACGCTCCCTCTCTTTCTCCCGTTCGCGCTCGTGTTCTCGCTGGCGCAGCTCGCTCTCCATCTGTAGCCTGTGGGGGAGGTTGACACACGGGGGAGAGGTGAGAGATGCAACACCCAACACGGGCCAGATATTAGCCACACACTGGTGAACTGCACACAAACACTGCTGGCCAAATGTACACACAAATATGCACTCAGTCCATGCGCACTATAATCCATCCGCAGCATGACTGAGTGCAAGCAGATGAACACTTAATAGGTATCCACAGGAGAACCACACACACATACTGAAACTGTACCCACTCACATTCACACTCTAAAACAAAGCAGATATGCAGTATGGGCCTGTGCCATAAGCGCTACTCCAATCAATCCTCCTGTTTCTCCACCATAAGGAAACAATGTACATAGTGAAACAAGTGGAAGAAGCGCTAACAATGAGGCTTCCTGACGTACACTACAAGTACAAAGGGCTTATATATGCAAGTGTGTGTGAAGGACAATGCGCGGTGACGGAGTGTATAGGAGGCGCTATGGGGAGTGCTCTAAAAATACCCCACTCAGCAACCTGTGCCTACCCTGCGGAGAGAAGACTACCCAGGCCCCAAGTCAGGAGGGAGGAGGTGACAGCGATGACGAAAGGGAAAATGTAAAGCCTAATGACGAAACAGTAAGATGATCTAAAAATACTTATACACTTAATACAGTGCTTGTGTGAAAGTTACCTCTCTGCCAGGGCTGTATGGTTGAGTTCAGCAGGGTACCGGCTCCCAGGCAGGTGCATATGGAGGGCAGAGGGGTGCAGGGAGGGGAAGGCGCCCCCTCCAGGCACAGAGTAGTATGGCGAGCGAAGGGCAGAGAGACAAAGAGACTCCTCCATTCTGGGAAAAAGATAATATTTAAGTTTGAGCTTAGGGGCAAACTAGACTTAATTAGTAAACTAAGACTTTGCCAAATTAATCTATAAGATCAGCTCCCTACTGCATTTACCATCTGGTTCCTACTTATTAAATCAATCATATAAAGGCATTCTCTCTCCTCTCCATGTCCCTGTGCATATGCCTATCGGCCACAACCCTCCTCAGCCCTATCTCCACTGCAGCAGCAGAAACATCAGCCAGGAAAAAGAACAATTACATGGCTAAAACTTGAGTAGTTTATACTTAAACAAAAGTACAAAGTACACATAAAAAATAGTATTCAAACTACTAGTGACCTTTTAAGGCAATTCTAGAAGCATTTGGGATCATTCTTTCATACAAAACTTCAATCAAACTGTTAAAAGCTGAAGTTTTTTAAACCACAATCCACATGTTTTCTGGCCAATCAGAGCAGGTAATGCAGTGCTGTTATGTGTGGTTGCTGTATGAAGGAGCAAGACAGCTGTGAGACAACCATGCATGATTTATTAAATACAATTACATGACAAGACATCGACTTGATTACAAGCACAAGTGCACAAGCACATATTTACAAATCTACTAAAAAAGTAACCATAATTTCCAGTGAACTGTTACATAAAAACCCAGAGTGAAGGTTGGTGCAGTTACCTTTGTAGGGAGAGGGGGTGGTGGAGGTAGGCTGGGTGGTAGTAGGCAGCAGCAGCAGCAGCATGGGCAGCTGCAGGGTCCATGCCCAGGGGCAGAGAGGCCAGCCGGAGCTCCTCTGACGTAGCATAGGGACGCAGCACTCTCAGATACTCCTCTGGGACTGCACCAGGAGGGACCCCGGGGTGCATCTGCCCAGGTAAACTGTAGGGGACACAAATACAGGCATACATTTTAAGTGGTGCATTTTGTGATAAGGGGTGCATATTATGACAAGGGGTGTTGTCATATCAAAGAGTGTAGGATTATTGGATCAAAATGTATATTCCTCTTTGCTACATGACCTTTTTGAAGTACATTACTGTATTTTACTAGGGCTGGAGTTGACTAAAGAAATTCTTGGCCGACTAAAAGAGAGGTGAAATAAAAGGTCTCAACTACCATTTTGTCTCTGACCGAAATTACACTGACAAGACTACACCTTCAAGAAGTGCATGTAACAATGTATTTATATAAAGACATGTTAAACAGCCCTAATTTGCATGTAAATACCTTGTAAAAAAAAATAAAAATAAATAAATAAAAATGCTTTCTACTTCCTGCACAGTAGTGCTTGGGTGTAGCTACCTGAGGCTCTGTATTCTGGGGTCCTGCATGACAGCTCCGGGTTGCAGTCCGTATGAGTGAGTCAGAGGGTGGGGGGAGGAGAGGGGAGGGGTCCTCTTGTCCTGTGGGTACGAGTGGTTCTCCAGACGTTCTCGAACACTCACCTCAGCCTGAAGAAAAACATAAACAAAAAAATTCTTGCTGATTATAAAAGTCCTAATCTTGACCAGATTAGTCAAATAGTAACCATAACAATTCACTTTTCTGCAGTGCTGGAAAGAGTATTGAAAATGTCTACTCAAGTAAAAATACAGTCATATGGCAAAAATTTATTGAATTACAAGTTCACGTAATGCTGCCAAATCTGTACTAATGTAACAGTATTAAGTACACATGAAAATACTACTCAAAGTGTTACTCTTTATGTTATTTTAGTACCATTTTAGATCAGTCTTTTATACAAAACTAAACTAATTACACTTACATTAAGATAGAATTATACTAAATTATAAGCACAGGTTAAAAAATCTACAATACAATTATCCAAACAATCTACATAATTTCATTAACATATTTATAATTAGTTACTATTTTCCACTGCTGCTTTGCTCTATACTTAAAACAAAGAAGTCCCATATGTTTACTGTAAAACATAAATAATACAAGTTAACAGTCAGGCTAGTCAATTGGAGTTTTGCATATGTAGGAAAAACATGCAAATGATCTGATGCAAACTTGAGTGTCCTATGCAAATCTATGGCATTACTAAAACAAGCCAAGCCAGGTCAGATATCCTGATGCCAAAATGTGATGCTAGCTCTGACATGGGGTCTTGGCCTGCCTAACGCTTCAACTCAACTACATAAATGACCGTCACTTTGCGGTTTGATGAGTTAGATGGAAAGGTTAAGAGAAAGAGAGAAAGAAAGGAGTGGAGTGAGAGGAAGAGAGAAGAGGAGAGAGGGCCTGGGGGTTGTACCCAGGGGCTCAGCTGAGTGGAAAAGTGGTCTTGATATGTCATAACAGGTCAACATCAAAGAGGAAAGATGATCCTAATATCAAGCCAAATGCACACTTCTTCCTTCCTAACATCCCTCTCTCTTCCCCTCTTCATCCTCTCTTTCTCTCCATCTCATTTTCTCTCCCTCTCACCCGCTCTCCACTCAAAAGCTCAGTCACCATAAAGTCACATTTGATCTGTGATTGCTTATCTAAAACTTCTGGCGTACTATGAAGGCTTTTGGGGCAAATGGGTGCATAGAATTGACTTTTAAATTCTAGTATAGCTCATTTTCATTCCCATGGGTTAGGAAGAATCGAAACATAATATTCTGGTATGTAACTTAGCTTTGGTCTTTCACATTATAAAGCTTCAAAATAAAAACTTTATCAATTTGTTTCACCATTGCCATAGTAATCAGTTCAAAACAAAATATTGTAACTTTTGAATGGTTAAAAGTGCCTATAGACAAAAAAGTTGAAACCTGTGAATATGGAGATAGATGAAAAATAAGTTAATGTATATGAGGCCTTAGGTTGTGTAAACAAAAACAGCAGAAAGTGCAAACAATCCAGCTGCTGCTGCACCAAGAAGTGAAGCTCTCATCAGGCAAATATAGGGACTGAGAACACCAAAGTTAATAAGGTGACTGAAATCTGAGCAAGGAAATGATTTTAATTTTAAAACACAAAAGCCCTTGTAGATTACCACATAAAACACATAAAAAGGTGACTTTTTTTGCAAGGGATGTCAAAAGTATTGAAAATCAGATACTAATTGAACTAATTAAGTTCATCATGACTCCAGTGTTTTCATAACTCCAGATAATTATCATAAAAAACATTTCCTTATCTTTGCCCAACCCTTTGTCATGGCTTCTCTAATTGCCTCATATTTGTACCCTGGTTTGGTTTAGCTGTTTGTATTCAAAATAACTGCCAATTTTACCATATCCACCACACATTACCACAAGTGCACTAATTGCAAGAAAAACATTAATTTAGTCTAATGTGCTGGAGGATGTCTCTAAAGCAACATAGTGTAAATGCAAGCGCAAGCTACCACAGGGAAACCACAAACAAATCCGCTCCCCTGGCAACATTTCAACATTTCAGGTGGCACCTTCCACTTGGACAGCGCAGTGAAATCCGTGTCGTTTGAATATTCTGCTGCCCATTTGACTGTCTCACTCATGAAAAGCAGATTCAAACCAGCGATGAACCGTCGTCGCTCTATATCAAAGCCCAATCTGATCCACAGTGTTCTAGCTAGGGAGAGTGGGAGGGAGAGCGGGAGCAAGGGAGGGGTAGGGTGCAGTATAGATACTAGAGGGAGGGAGGAGGAAATACAAAGACCGCCCGGGGAGCAGCCGTCACACGTCCTGACCTCTGACCTCGTAGAATCCCAATTGTCTTCACAGATGCAGCCGTAAACACAAAGCGTCTCTGCCTTCTTAAATGTCTCAGAGTAGTGGAGACTTTTAGGAAAAGTACAGTGAAAATTCTAGAAATAGTTTTATCTATGTGGGCAACTGTCAGTTAGTGTTAGCCAATCCCAAACCTGCTACCTTTGCCTCTCAAGTCAGTCATTTTTATATGAATGGACTCTTTCATTTGAACAATTTGAAATATGCACCACAAGCCTCAAATTAGGCTTGTCAAGTAAATCAATACCCAGATACAAGTGATTAACAAAACAATTATTAAAATAAATACTAATTTGAACAGATAAAAATAAAGAACAGATAACAGAACATTTTTTTAAATGACAATTGTTTTTAACCTGAATAGTTTTAGAAAAGTCTTAATCAAAACTAGTATTGTCAGTGTTGACATGATACAAAAATTTCAAACTTGATTTCAATACTATGCAATAGGTACAATGCAATGATAATTATTACCAATTTTTTCCCTCTTTTTTCTTTATCATACAATGTGCTGCTCAAATGAGTATCTAGTTTTGCTACTAGCTTTAGTATCAATTAATATGATTTGATAAGTTTGACAAAGTTTGATAAGTTTAACTAGCAGACTACATGGAAATATGAATGAAATATGAAAAGTACTAAAGTATTTTTATGATCACGTTGGTATCACAATCTCAGGTATCAAGCTTTATAGTCTTTAGTCTAAAACTGTTAGTATGTTAGTAACAACACAAAACACCTCATCTTCACTTCAGCAGCAGAACTATAAGACACCTCAGCCTCTCCATCTCTTCCTCGTGTTCCGGCTTCAACCAGATTATCAATTGAATGAACTTCTCAACATATCTCACCCATTTGACTGTCCCTGTTGCAAAACTAAAATCCATGCAAAGCTTTGGAGCCTTTATTTAATGTTCCTTACTTATCCATCCGTACCTCCTTTCCTAGCTTCCTAAAACCTTATTCCCTAAGTCTCCTACCACCCCCTTTCTGTCCTCCCCGCTGAAAGCTCTGAATGAGCACCCCCAGGCAGGCAGACCCACAGTGTAGGCTTTGTCACGGGGGGAGAATGGTCGCTCTGATCCAAGTGGAAGTGGCTACAGTGGGGGCCGACCTCTCACATTGTGTTGAGGGGGGAGCCTGGACCCTCAGCCTGGCTTAAACTCATCCAGCTGACCCCACAAGCACGCACAACAACACACACACATAAATGTAAGGGAAGGAGGACAGAGAGAGAAGGGAGGGGGGCACCCATAGCCTTTTGTGGGGGTCAAGTACACACGCATATGCACAAACGCCACGGGAAGCCGGACACAAAGGGTGGCAGTCTGTTCCAGCAGCCTCCTAATGCTCCTTTTATAATGCTTCTTGTGTGTTTACTGAAAAAGACAAGGAATGATTAGCAGAACTGCGAGAGAGAGAGAGAGAAGGATGAAGGGAGAAAGAGAGGTGGAGTGAGAAAAAGTGAGAAAGTGGGAAAGAGGGAGGCATGGAAAGCAAAGAATATGACAAGAGATGTGAGGGCCGGCTGGTTGTGACAGCTTAATGTTAATGAGAATAGTTTTTAGACATTTTTGGAAGCTATGGTAGGTTTCAAATGCAAAGAAAAACATTCACAATACATTAAAAGGTGATTTGGAGTCAACAGTAGTGTAAGGCAAAAGTAAAGCTAAAACAAATGTGCTCTAAAAACTAACCATAAAGCAGATATACTTTTGCTGGTATTTGGTATTAAACTATAACATAAGTACGTCATTACAGTTTGGTTCACTGTAAACTGCAATATTGATCTAAAATGGCTTAGTATAGTATATATATATATATATATATATATATATATATATAAAATTAAAAACTATTTCTTAACACTTTAATTAAGTATTTGTTCATGCATTATTAAGGGTAATTAAGGTATAGTTATTATGAAATAATAACTACACAATTTCAACTATTCACTTACAATACTGTACTTGTTAGGTATACATTGGCACAGCAAACCAAGCTTTCATTAAAAAAAAACATATGGGAGATACTGACTTGTTTGTTGTCCATTACCTGTCTTGACTCTGCCCTCCACAGGCTGTTGCTGGTCTTGGTTGGGGCTATAGTCACCACTGGAGGGGTACTAGGGACACTGTGGCCCCGGCTCTGGCCCAGGAGAGGAGGTCCTAAAGATGGCCGCTTCGGGGTGGTGACTGGGGAGCTGTGGCTGGTGGAGGGGGTGGAGACAGGAGAAGGCTCGCGGCTAACGGCAGAACCTAGGGAGAAGGAAGGGTAAATGGGTAATACAAAACAATATAACAATAATCAGGAAGTATTGTTAGCATGCTAGTTGTCGTTAGCTTTATCAATGGCAAAACTCCACTCTGGTCTCTGAATGTTATGAAATTAGGGTTTAAACTCATCGTGACGAATAATTAGTATACTCTGAATGCATAGTAAGTAATAAGTGAGGAATAACTTTGGACCACTGCAAACTGTTTAAAATGAGACAGTAAATATCAGGAACAGTGTCTACTAAAACTACCTTAACTGGTTGTAACTTGTATTAGATGTGCACATAGGTAAATTACATGTGCTTTTTAATGTAATTGGACAAGTCTCAAATCAGATTAGGTCAAAGGAATGCTACTATTAGCTACAGCAGATGACTGTTGGTGTACAATAAATTTAGAGGGGAAAAAAGAACCTCATGCCAAAGTTTTATCTGCCATAACAAATAACTTAACAGACTAAATTCACCTGACAAATCTATGATGAATAAACACTGGTTAAAAGCTATGACTGAATGTCTTAGAATAACTAGAATACCTTGAATGAAACCTGTTGGAAATGTTAGGGACTCCAGTGGAAATTAATATTAACAATAACATGTAAAGGTTTCATATATTTGCTGTTGTATAATGCTTTCTTAAAGACCCTGTATAACTGATTTTTCTTCAATGTATTAGAGCAATAAAGTTCTCATACAGATATATTGTACAAGCAGCTAAGGATTACTTAGTTTTCAGTACCGGTACTTGGTGATACTGAGTACCAGTAGCAGACATTATTTTTACAGGGGTTCTATTACAGTGGTAAATGCAATCAATTTAATTTAATGATTCACTATCCAATAGACCTAGCATTATCATTATTAGATAGATAGGCTACTTTATTGATCCTGAAGGAAATTCAAAGTATTATTGTTATTAGCCAATTAATTATTTCATTACACTATACAGTTAATTTTATTATAGTATAGCCTACTTTTTCAGTGGGATACTTATTTAAGCGATTGTTTCAAATTTCTACAAAAATTACTACTGCTAAGGAGCCACTTTTAGCATGCAAATATCTCTTTCAAAAGATCTAATCTAGCTCTATTTACATTCTATCCATAGCAATAAGTCACAATGCATGCACAAGCAAAAAATTGCCGGCCCCACTTAGCCATGTTAGCTTGTAAAAAGTGCTTATACACTCATTACGGTGAATACTTAGGATGTTTGGAAAGCATAAGGTAAATGAGGAATAACTTTGACAACTGCAAACTGTTTAAGATGAACTACCGGTAGTTCTGTTTTTTCACATTTTATGGCAGTAAAAATCATATACAGTGCCTTTGATGCTAATAGAGTCTCTATGATTCAAATGATTTGCATGACGTGCCTTCTGCTCCACACTGTATGTTTATCTAATTTCTTCGTATGCACTTAGTAGTCAAATTCCCTTTGGAGCGATGAGGATTTCCAATCAATCTTTTTGTTTTGCCCAAGGAAAACAGCGATTCAATCAATTTGATGAAAGGGAATACGAGACCAGAAAGATACAGGAAATGCGCTAAATGAAGATGGAAGATGTTATTGTACCACAAGATGAAAAGTGTAAATAAACTCCCGATAAAACAAATCAAATTGTTAAAGGATCGCGTGCTAAAAATGACAGAGTATGCTAGCATCCTTGCTGGAATCACTCTACGGCACTGACATTTACTATTAAGTGTGCACACAAAAGGGGGGTTTAATAAGATGAAGAAACGGGCTGCAAGGGAGAGAGCGGAGAAGAAGCGTCTCTTATAATTGGCGGTAATTAGATTCTTATTATTAGGAGATGAATGGAAACAGATGAAGGGAACCAAGGAGAGGTAGGGGTCACTATAGGTCACCTCTTATCCAACACCTTCATTAAAACACCAATGAGCTGAGTGACGCACCGCACTGCTTAAATGAGTCTGTACACAACAGTAGTGTGTGTAATAATCCGTAGATTCTCAAAATGTGGAGAACCACCTACCAGTGTTTTCTTGGTTTTGTAATGATAATCTGGGTCTACTAAGGATGCATTCACACTGATCCTGGTTTGGTCCTACTTTAGTCCTGATTATGATGTGTTATGTGTGCTGAATCCACACCCAGTTCCTAATACTATAATATATATTTGTCTCCAAGGAGATATTCTTGCTTTGCCTGAAATGTCCCACAACATTGCATTAACTTATGTAGTTTGCGTTTTTCTCAATAAGGTATTTTTATACTTACTGTACCTTGAAAAAGTGTATTCTTACAGTTTCTTTTAGAGACCGGCATTAGTTCTGGTTTAGATTTGGTTTAATTCTTCTGTAGACATGGTTAATAACTGTTTTAGTGGTGAGTCACACTCAGTTACGCTGTGTTCACACTTTCACACACATACCCTTTCAAAATTGAGACAAAACTTGGACTAAACCAGACTCAAACCAGAACTAAACCAGGACAAGTGTTAATGTAGACTTAAGACCTTCTTGAGTGCTTTTCATACTGTTAAGATGTAAGATAGTCCTGGTTTAGACCTGTTTAAGTCCCAAGCCTGGTGGTACTTTCTATAGTGGTACTTTGCGTGACACATTTGCCACTTTAGCATGTTGCAAAACTTGAAATACATCCTCATTTTGCTTTGAGGAGCCACAATATTGTTCGAAGGTGTAGCCAATAACATAATTTGCTGCATAGTGCATTTGCTGAAATTCTCGGAGGGGCCCGAAGGTGCTGAGAGCAGGAGGACTGACCCACCTCTGGGATCCTCGGCCTGCTTGGCCAGTTTACGCAGGGCAGCAGCGAATCCGGAATTTGCAGACTGGGACACTGCGCTCCCATTGGTTAGAGGGTTCAGGGGACTGACAGTGGCCGTGGTGCGGGTTGCCGTGGAGATCATTCCTAATGATGGAGATTTATTGGAGTCATGGTTCATACCTGAGGAAGGAAAGAGAAGATTTGGGTTCATGAGTTATTTTTTTTGAAAAGGTGTAATAATAATTGTCCATTAGTCTAATAGTAGTGCTTTCTGTCACTAATATTTGCTTTAGGTATAAGGGCTTTGGGCATTCACTAAGATAACTCATTGTTCAAAGGTAAGAGTGAACAATAGGCCAAAAAAAATTACATCCCAATTCCTGGAATTTTATCATTTTAACTATTCAAGGTATTGTTTTTATCTGCTACTAAATTAAGAAGTATTTAAAGTCATCTTCTTCTTCTGAGAGTACATACTTTTTTGTGATTGGTTAACTCCATCTGTCACTCACTCAGAGCATAATGGAGGTTGGCCATTAGAAGAACTGAATGGGGAAAATGTCCACGTTTGTGCATAGAGCTGCATTAAAAAAGCACAGAAGCGCCATATGACAATCTGATTGAAAAGCATATTGTCCCAGGATCAGAAATAATCATATCATTGTAAGTGTCTTGCCCAAGGACACAAGACAATGCTGGTAGTGGGAATCAAACCATAAATCTTGTATATGTGTTTTTACACACATATACAAGGTTTCCAAATGTCTCCAAAAACTGTGCTACAAGAGCTATGTCAATCAAGCCTATACAACAAGAAAAGAATCTAATAGAATATCTATAACCGTATTTTTGCAGGTGCAGTTTTTCACACATATTTAAGACACAATTAGTCATAACCAATGTTCCCTTTTGCTCACCATCACAGAAAAACATCCTTCAGATTTATTCTGCAAATAATCCATGTAACATTTTATATAGAAAATCCTATCTTACATGAGACCTCTTTCAATACCAAGAGCAAGCTTGTCTTTCACTCCCCCTCTCTTAAGAGCCTGGGTCAAGAAATCAAGTTTGTTTACTAAATCCTGCTTAATACCTAGTGACACGGGCTCACTCTCTCACTTCTCTCTCAGTCTCTCACTCTCTCACTCTCTGTCACTATCTCTCTCTCTCTCTCTCTGTCACTATCGCTCTCTCACTGTGTCCCTCTAGCTCTCTCTTCGCTCACTCATGTCGAACCAATGAATCGAGTAGGGGGTGTCCGGGCAGCCTTTGTGTCTGGGCTTCCTGAGGAGGGGAGTCGGTACGCGTGGGTCCTCCTCGCGCTGACCCTAATAGCAAATCACACGCCTGGATAGCTGCATGTCCCTCTCCTCCAGGGATCAACACATCTTGAGACAAATACATACAAGCACATTATTAGCCATCAATAAGTTTGCAAGAACTCAGGAGATTGTTGGACTATGAATACTGAGGGAGGGAGGTCAGAAGTTTATGGTGAATCTACTGCTGAAGATTCAAAAATGAGAATGTCATGACTCATGATCAGGGTAATGATAACTAACAGGATTAATTAAGATTAATCAATAAACTTGTTTACTTGCTGTAAATATGTAGCAGTGGCTTGCTCAAAAAATGAAATCTCGATCCTATTTAGATACATTATGCTACCTTTCTAGATTTTTGTTAAGGTAATGTATGAATTCAATGAGATCATCTTGAACTGTAAACTTTGGACCGGCATGTGGGTTTCACTGATCCCCGCTAGGAGCATAGTGTTGTTGTACTCTTGGGCAAGACACTTCATCCACCTTGTCTATATATGAAATGTGTTGCTTTCATGGACTGGTCTCTGCAATTACTAGCCCTCATTACTATTTGAGATTTTGCAAAAACTAACACAAGGTAAGAAAATCCCCGGATGTATAAATGAAATAAACTTACACAATTTTCTGATTTATGTTATAATGTTGTTTCCTTATCATATCTGTCAATCTCTTCTAAACAAAAGATAAAAAGGCAACTGTTAACTTGAAAACTACAATTTTTGAGCATTTGAACTTTGGGGATGCAGACAGGCTAATATTAAAGGGTTAGTCAAACATGTGAATGATCAAATAAAACACAACTCTAGGTATGTCTTTGAAAAGGTAATATATAACGCAACGGTTTAAGCATGAGAATCAGGAAGTGATCAATCCTCAACTAACCTAAAAATGTGCTCATTTTCCTTCTTAAAAATATTACCTAAAAAGTCAATTTAAGATCATATTGACATGATTGCCCTCTTTGGTAAACACATGTATAGATTAACCCATCAATCATTACCTGTAACCTGGGAATTTCACTCACTCCTATATTATTGACCTACTAATGTTAATTAAGGCTGGAATGACCCTATTACTGTGCATTTTAACCTAGCATCTCTGGAAGACCAACCAACTAACAACCAGGGCAAATTCAAATTCAGAAACATTATACTGAACATGGCACTTTGTCAGTCCACACGATTCAGCAAAAATTGAATATTTAATTGAATCTGGAGCAAATTTGAAACTGCCACGTGCTGTAGTTGTTGTCTGTTGTCAAAGTGTTCCTGCCAAGCATCACGTGTGAAGACAATGTGGTGCAGATAGGGTGAGATTTGAAAGCAAGTGAGAAAAAACAAACAGAAAATACAATTGCTCTGTGTTTTGCATAATTGAGCAACATGAAAAAATAAAGCCAGACAATACAACATTCATAATTTTATCAGTAATACAAATGTTCACTGAAAATGCATATAATCTAATCAAGATGTGAGTTAAATCAGCGCATTTCTAAGAGGAAACAATGTAGTTTAAAGTAAAAAGTATAAATTGGTTAATTAGCGGTTTACTTAACAAAAGTATGTGAACTCCTTTTCACTTTATCACATTCGGTGGCTTTACATGTACACCAAAATCAGATTATTATATGACTTCTGGACCTTTAAAGAGAACCAATAATGAAATATCGACTTTTTAGAGCTTTTAACAATGTTTTAGTTGTTTCCCCTTCTCATTTACCCTCTTGAATATAGTGTGATTCATGCATGTTTGAGTAATCTTTTTACTCCTATTAGATGTCTAAAACCCATTTTTAATGCATCTCATTGGGCACAACAATTTCCTATTGCAGAAGTTAGCAGACTTGTTTCTTTTAGTAAGTAGTTTTAGATAAATATTGCATGTATACAGGTACCATAGATTATAATTATATAGCAGACTCAAATGCAATATTCTTTGAGATAATTTAAATGGTTGCTAAATCTGATTGCTGTTTACATGTCATCATTATAGTCTTACATATAAAAAAATAATAAATTACTATATTCATTTGCAATCAAAAATGTGGTGACAATGGATTGTTAGCTTGTTGTAATGTTGTAATAAAACTACTGTACAAATATAGAACTGTACAAGAATTAACATGGATTATAAAATCAAGAATGAGACCACAGCTCTCGAACAACCGTGATATGAAGCTTGCCATATTACCCACTGACCTTGCCCCTGAACTATAGATATCGTTTGTCCAATATCCCAAAATTTTCCAAATTATTCAGAATCTAAATTGTTCAAAAACCTTGCTTTGTTCTCTTTGATTACTAATTTAACCAATTAGTAATGTTTTTCCCAAAATGGTTAAACTCAATTTAGGTATTTGGAGCTTAATAAATTCTAATGGCTTTTAAAGAGAGATTTTTGTGTAGCCCTAATAGTAGTAGTGCTCTCTATAAGGTGATACTTTGCCACATACCCAATTCATGTTAACAAATATAAATAAGCTCTACAAAGATAAAACATACATTCATACCTAGAAAGTAAGTGTTGCTGAGTTTGTTAATAGCAACACAAACAGGTGTGAAGTAACATGTGGTCTTACAAAATAAACATTGCGAGACCATACTGAAGGCACTGTACATACTACTACTGCAAATACAATGTATACTTATAACTACTGTCAAAAAACTTTGTGATGTCTTGTAGTAATACAGGAAGTGCTCCACTGTGATTTTTAACCTCTTTACTAGAATCATATGGATAATTTCAGTCCTGGAATTGCTAATATCTACTAAATAAAAGGTAAAAGGTAGCTGTTGATATCATCACAAAGTGGAACAGAGCATGTTGAGCTTTGGAGATGTACAAAGACTAATAATAAAGGGTTACTCAAACATGTGTGAATGAAACAAAACACAACTCTGGTTATATTTTTATGAGGAAACAACAGTGCTTAAAGTTCACGAGTCATTTCTGTGTAATAACCACCTTCAACTTCAACCTATCAGAATGTATAAAGCTCTGGATTTTTTGTTAGCATTTTCTATGAGTGTAATGTTAAACTAAAGAAGAGTTTAAAATGCTAAATAAGTATTCTGTGTAAGTATCATTATAGTGAGACAAATGTATTCACCAGGAGTGACCCAGAAGGCTGTTTCACAGCCTTTTTGCTTACTTACATTTTATTCCTGTCTTGACTAATGGATGTTACGACAATGTTGCATATTGCCAATCGCATAACATTCTTTGATGTTCGATTCCAAACTCTACTGGTTTCCTGTTTTAGATGCCATTTGTCGATTCAAAAGAAATTATTCATTCATTCCTTTCATTATTCTGAAACCATGATAAGTTGAGTTCATGAGATTTTAGAATTTGATATCATGTTTTTAAATGGGCCTGTCATATTTTTTAAAAAAGCTTATACAACACAATGGGCAATCCACTGTTTTAGAAATAACCGAACTAAAAATCTATAATTGTTGAAATTTATAAATTCATCCTGGGTTAGGGATTGGCTTAATGGGTTTTCCATATTCATCTTGTGGTATATTGTTCTTAGAACTGGCAACATTCATGCTTTGGTGATTGAATAATCCCACCACATTTTGCCTTGATGCTAGGGTTGTCCAAGGTGATGAAAAGTCAAATACTAATTGATACTAAAACTAGTATTGAAACTAGATACTCTTTTAAGGAAGTACAGATACTATGAAAAATAAAATCACATACTGATTTAAGAAGTACTATTACTTTGTGGTGAAAATTATATAGGTATCAAAATTGCAAATGAATCTATTCTTTAGTATAAAATAAGAGTCTGAAATGTGAGTATCATGACAACACTACTTGATGGTTGTCATTAAAAGATAATTG